GTCATGTTGTCAGAAGGGACCATTTCCTGGAGAAGGATGTCATGCTTGGTAAAGTGGAGGGTCAGAGAAAAAAGGAAAGGCCCTCAACAAGGATTGGCACAGAGGCTGAGCAAGACTGGGCAGAGTTTTGTTCTGTTATACATAGGGTCACTATGAGTCGGAGCCAACTCAGTGGCACCAAACATGCTGGAAATCAGAGCCAATTCTTGGCACCAAGGTTAAAAGGCCAGCCCACCAGAGCAGGAGACAGACTGGGATAGACAGGGTTCCAGCAGCCTCTGCCATTCACCCTCCATGCAAATGGAGCAAGATCTTTTGTAAGACTCAGAGTGCTCACTATCCCAGCTGTAGAATGGGCCAAATGGTGTGTGAGAGGCCATGGGTGAGGCCTTCTGGATCCCCACTGGGAAGAGCAGGGGAGGCAGAGACAGAGAGGATACCTAGGGCCCTGCAGCTGTTTGCAAACACCGAGGGCCTGGCCCATTGGAGACAGACAGTAATGAGTTAGTGGATCTAAATGAAGAACAACTGTGAAGAACTTAAAGCATTTAAACAGAAACTTTTCAGAGGAGAACTGGAAAAGAAGGAGCAGGGCTTTAGATACGATCTCATGATCTCACGAAGACACAGTGGGAGGAACAGCTCTCTGGGCAGAACTATGTTCATCTGTCAGCTTAGCAGTAGCACTCACAGCCCACCCACCCCCTGTCCACCTCACCTTTTCCTGAAGTGACCCTGGAGTACTAAGTAATAAGCCCCAGCCCCTCTCACCTCACTAGCCATCCTTGGATGATGTCTTCTGGCTGATGAGGAGTGCAATTCTCCAGTTCAGAGGCCAGGCCGTGTAAACCCAGAGATTAATGAGGTGGAGAGACCGTACAGGATGGGGTCAGCAGGGTCAAGGGAAGCCCAGAGATGGGGATCAAGGGTCCTGGGTCATTGGTGGAATTAAGAGACCTGACCCAGAGGGGAGGGAAGGGGCGAAGGTCAGTGCCCTAATGAGGAAGCCCTCCCTGCTAGGAGACTCCAAAGGGCCGGATTTCCCGAGTGCACAGTTGTCATTTCTACTCAGACCAACGTGGGATAAAGTCAACCCCAATTAGCCGGAAACCCTCACCCCTGGGGTTCTGTTCTGAGCAGCTCAGCAGAGGCTGGCTCTGCCCTCCTCCCCTGCAGAAGTGTGAGCTGCTCTCCGGGGTAGATAGGAGGAGGGAGACCCAGAGCTAAAGCTCCCTCCTCACCAAGCCCGTTTCTGGAGCAGCCAACAGACCTAAGTGCCACCTCTCCAGCTTCTGGCCTCTCTCCCTCCCAAGGATTGTGCCAGAAAGCCGGGAGGGGGTGTGCGTGGATGAAAAGAGCCAGAGGGGCAGGAGAAGACAGAGGCATCCAATTCAATGTTTTCATTTTGAGATGGGGATCCTGGGCACAGAGAGGGAACACAGCTTCCCGGTGGTCACACAGCATGCCTGACTTGGTCCAGCTCCCCCTTTGTGAGCCAGGGGTATTGGGAGAAAACTGAGAAAAAGGAAGAGGAAGAGAGGGACAGATAGCAGACCTCTGAAAAGTCAGAGACTCCCAAGCTGACTGCTCACCCCCAGAGGTTTCTGTCTAGGAGACGCCTGGCCAAGTCGGCCCTGTTGGGTCAGGCTTGTTAGTGGGGAGCTCTGGTCCTCCAACAGAAGGAGCGACAGGAGCCCCTGACTGCCTCTATGAAAGACGCTTTGGGGCTCATTTCCTTGGACAGCTCCAGGCTGTGAGGGAGGCAGAAGACCGCTTGAGACACTGCAGCTGCTGTTGCCAGACTTCAGATGAGGTCCTGTGGCACCCTCTGCTGGCCGCAGAGCAGACCTGTGTTTGCAGGCAGTGCCATGTTCAACCCTTTTTCTTGGTGTGCCTGTGTGTGAGGACCCAGCCCTTACACAGAGAGGCTGTGCCCTGACCTCACCCCACAGAGGGTGGGATGGAACATCAGCCCACCTGATGCTTAGGTGAGCCAAAGGAAATGGGCACTTGGATTTTGTCAGCCAATGGGCCTGTGTTCAAATCCCTGCTCTGCCTCTTACAAACTATATGACCTTGGCAATCTGCCCAGCCTCTCAGAGCCTCAGTTTGCTGACTTGTAAAACAGGGAACACCATCTCCTCCCATGTTAGAGAAGATTCTTGGAAATTAAATTAAATCAGGATGTAAAGCACTTAGCCTTTTGCCAGAGCCTTGAAGCATGCACTAAATGGCCCTGCCTTTCTCTACTGTTTTCTAGAGGATTTTCCCAGCACTCAAAGGCCAGGATAGGCCTGGAGCTCCAACTTGTCTGCTATGGTGTGTTCCCTGACTCCAGCTCTGCCCACCAGCCTAGGGCTCAGGGGGTCACTGGTGGAGTCAGGGTGAGGGAGGGCTCTGGCATTTGGAGCTAAAGATTCCGGGCCTTTTGCAGAATTAAGAGACCTGGCCCACAGAGGATGGAGGTGAAGCCATCATGGGGGTAGACATGAGTTCATGTGGGCAGATTACAAAGGCTGAAAAGAGGGAGATATCCCTGTGGTGGTGAGGAACCCAACACAGGATTATGAGGGTCTTGTGGATATATTTCTATTAGAGAGAGGGGGCGAAAAATTACTTCAAAGAATTAGCTCACATAATTGTGGGGGCTGGCAAGTGTGAAACCCACAGGTCAGGCGGCAGGCTAGAGACCTCTGAAGGCTTGCATCCCAAGATCTACAGGTCAGGAAAGGGAAGTACAGAGGGAGAGAGAGAACATGTTTTCCCAAAATATAGTCTTCAGGCGGATCATACCCTAAGGAAGCTCTCCTTTCAACTGATTGACTGAGTCCATTAGATTATGCTGTGAAGGGTGATTACATTTATTATGGAATAGCATCTAGTCTAAGGTTTGGCCAAATCACTGGGAACCCCAGCCAGCCAAGTTGACAGGTAAAATTAATTATCACAGAAGGATAGCCAAAGGCTTCACAGGGAAAATAGTGTTTGACCAGGATGCTGAATAAGGAATAGGATTTTGAGTTGAGGGACTAGCATGAAGGCAGCTATGAAAAGGGATGGTATTTTCAGGGCGATTCATGCCAGGATGTCAGGTGAGGAGGAGGCTGGGAAGGAAGAGGAGGCAGAGGGCCAAGTCAGAGTTTGGCCCCTTTTCTCTGGGGTAGTGGATGTGTTTGAAGAAGGCAGTATTGTTATCCAGGCTGCATTGGGGAGGAGCACTCAGATGCCAAGGTAGAGGACATGGCAGGAGCAGCTCTAGCCTTGGCCAGAAGGGTGGTTCAGGCCTTCCCGTAACATGGAAGAGAAGGGAGGGAGTGGGCAACTGAAGAGACAGGGGCCAAGGTCAAGGGGACCAAGTTCCTCTTTGCCTTTCAGCCTGTGGGTTTGGAAGTTGGGCCTGCAGCCACGGCGCTCAGACCCAAGGGGAGAGATGGACAAGATCCAGGTCTGTTCTGGGTTCATATGGCCCACTGCACAGTGCTGACCTTCTGGAGGCAGGAGGGCAGCAGGTGGACAGCCACTCCTGTGGTTGGATAGCTCCCTGGATCCTGACTTCTGTGGGTTAGACCAGTGGGGACAGAACTGGTCCCCTCTCTTCCCCTGAGCTCTCCCTCTGCTCAGGCAGGTTATATCTCAGCTCACCTACTCTCCCTCATTTGCGACTGGCTGTCACCTCCAACCCCTACTCCATCCTCGTCCATCCTTCGTCCTGAACTTACCCCCTCCCATAAATTGGCATTTTCATGGGAGAATGGAGGTTGAAAATGAAGATCAGACAGTGGGAGATGGTCGAGCAGACTCCATGCCATTCCCAGAGGAGAGAGTCCCCAGAGTCTCAGGACAGGCAAGTCAGGGCTGAGAAGTAGACAGGTCTGGGTCCTCCAACCATGGCCCCCCCGACCCACCCAGAGCACAGGCTGACCCTCTGACCACATAGGGCCAAAGCCTCATGCCCTTGGGAAGAGTTACACTCAGGGCACTTGAGAGGAAGGGGTGTTCAGATGAAGAGGAAAGCAGGAAACCCCTGTCTGGCTCATCCAGCAGGTACCATTCCAGGAAACTGACCAGAGGAAAAATGGAGCAGGAAGTAGTAGACAGGGTTCAGGAGGAGGGGTTCAATAGATAAGCAGCCAAGTGGACCATTGCTGCCCAGGCATCTTGCTCATGGCACTAAGTGTGGGTCCAGCCCACTGACAGGTCCCTCACCTTACTGGACCCCAGCCTCACTAGGTGCTCACTCAGGCCTTTCCTGCCTGGTGAGTTTAGGACTTGGACTTGCACACGTTCACCTTGCTGAGAAGAGCTGCCCACTGTGGCTACCAGGGGATGATGGCACCATCCAGGAAGCAGGCAGGGTCCCCAAAGCTCACCCTGAGCTGTGGATGGCCCTCCTGAGTTTCCAGAGAAGCCATTCTCTCTGACATCCTGGTAGGCCATGCTTCAAGAGCTCACAGCCCTTGGGACACTGAATCTGTTCCACTTCTCATTGTTCTTCTTTCTTCCTTCAGGGAGAGCGAGGCATGCCGGGGATACCAGGCAAGCATGGAGCAAAGGTACCTGCACCCCCAGCTCTGAGCAGCCCCTTAAACTTCCTACCCCCACACCCATACCTCTCTTCCAAGCTTGGGACAACCCCGGAGGCCCAGCTCATGGCTCTCTTTGTTCTCTCATCCTCCTGGGAAAAGGGCACAGGTCTCCTCCCCGGGGTTTCCCCTGCTACATAGCCTATGAGCCATCAGCCCTCCTGATGTGGCCAGACCTCCTCCTGGGCCCCTCTGGATCATGAAAACTCTGCTTAGATGATCCCAGCTCTGGCTGCAGTCCTGAGAAACATGTGGGCAGGAGAGACACCCCAAAATCATCTCCACTTGGGATTTGCTAAGTAGTGCTTTGGACAGCATGTCTACCTCATAGTAGATGGTCTTGGGCTGATATGAAAATGGGGCTCACTTAGCCACTCCCCAGACCACAGGGCAGAGGTGGAGAGGATAGCCCCGCTTGCATACTCAGGTCCATTATATTTGGCAAAACCAGGCCCTTTATTTATCTGCTGAACCAGACCTCCGGACGGCTCTCCCTTCTTCTCTCCCTCCCATCTCCTCCTCCTTCTTTCTTATTCCAATGAAGCCCCCACCACACCCTCAAGGACACTTCCATCTATCCCACCTATGGGCCCCCCAACCCATTCCCCAACCTGGGAGTCAGGCAGGTGGACTGGGAGCTCAGAGAAGCCAGCATAATGTTCGGCCCAGCCTTAATCGTTCAGCCCCTCTGCACTAAGAGCAGCTCAGCCACTACACCACCCTGTGGGACTGGGGGGCAGGCAGAAGTGGGGAGTCTTCCACAGTCAGACCAGCATTGCCTCCATGCTTGCCCTGACTACAGAAAGCCTTCATGTCTGTTTTTCTCTCTGCCAGGGGGCTCCTGGGATCGCTGTGGCTGGGATGAAGGTCAGTTGTAACTCAATGGTATCTGGGCAGCTGGGAAGGGAAGGGAGGAATCGAGGACAACCGAGCTGACACTGCAGAGTGGCCAAATGAGAAGACAGGCAGGATCCAGAAACACCGTTCTGAAAGTGACATTGATGCTAGATGCACCTTGAACATGAGCAGATGTTTACGTAAGCCGTGCAAGCAAGCAGCAAAGTTTACCAGCCTCATCTGCAGGGCTCACCAGCCTGCCATGTGTAGGCAGAGCCCAGGCCCTTCCTTTCCACTCAAGAACTCAGTAACCACATGCTGTCAAAGCTTCAGGCAGGAGAGCACGTGTGCTTTTCCTGGACGTCTCCCTAACTGCCTGTTTGGCTGCCTGCTGGATGAGTGGGGACACTCCAGAAGCACAAGTGACAAGTCCACTTACAGGAGGAAGTTTCCTTGGACAGGCTTGTGTTCAAGCCAAATGCCCACCCATCCTCTCCCACCTCCTGGGGTGCTGCGCACACTCTCACACACTCCCACACCCCTCCCCTAAGGGAAGAATCGGCCCCTCTGCCCGGCAAAGGCGGCAGCCAGGGATTCCTCACTCACTTGGCCATTCACTTTGATTCATTCAATAAATTTGCCTTGACTGTCTGCCAAGTGCTGTACTGGGGCTTGGAGAGAAGCAGAGTTGGATCAGCTGGCTCCATGCTCCAGGAAGAGACTCTGTTATTAGGAAGGAATGATAGGCGATACTGGCATTCTCTTCTCCCAGCCTGGTGTAGATCTGTGTTAGACTAGGGGCCATCTGGAAGGCAAATGCCCTTAATGAATACACCATCCTGTAGGGTCAGCAGCCCACAAGGTCTCCCTTGACCCGGGGCTGATGCTTCCCTTTCCCAGAATGCCTTTGCTCATCCTCTCTGTCTCCTTCTTCCTCCTCCTTTTCTCCTCCTCCTCTCACTACTTATTCTTTTCTTAAATTATGTTGTATTAGGCTTTTTGGTGAAAGTTTACACAGCAAGTTTGGTTCCCATTTGACAGTTTCCACAAAAATTGATCGATGACATTAGTCACATTCTTCATAATGTGCCAACATTTCTCTTTCATTGTATTCCGTTTGTTCCATTTCCAGTAGTCTAGTTATCCTGTTCCCTTGTTTGCTCATCTTCCCTTTAGATTAAATGATGACCTTCTGGACTCACACTGATGATTTTTTTCGTAGAGCTCTGATCAAATGGATAGTAAATATCCTTTATTTTGTGTGTTCCTCTGTTTTTCTGCTCAAAGGTAATCTCAGGGGGTAGTTTTGGTTCAGCGCTTAAAGAGTGTCTCAGGGTGATAATCTCAGGAGTCCTCTGGTCTCAGATGGTCCCGTTGGTCTGGCTTTTTCTAAGAATTTGAGTTTTGTTCTACATTTTTCTCCCATTCTTCCCAAGATCATCTATTGTGACCTCAGTCAGACCTGTCAGTGGCAGTAGCCAGGCACCAGCTAGTTTTTCTGGTCTCAGGGTAGTTGAGGTTGTGCCTCATGCTGGAGATCAACCTTGTAGATTTTGGTGACCTTCCTACTCTTTTGCTGCTGATGAGTAGAGACAAGAGTTGTATCTTAGATGGCCGCTTGCAAGCTTTTAAGACCCCAGACACTACTCACTTCATTGGGATACAGAACATGAACTTTGTAACCTGCACTATGCCAATTGACTGAGCTATCCCATGAGACTATGGTCCTAAGCTTTCAGATCTAGAAAACCAATCTCAGATGGTATTTAGTTATGTCTGAGGAGTGTGCATAGTTGTATAGTCAGTGAATATACGTGTCTGCATACACATATCTGTATTTATACATACATATAGATACTTCTAGGAGCTCTGGTGGCATAGTGGCTAAAAGCACTTGACTGCTAACCAGAAGGCTGGCGGTTCAAACCCACCAGCCACTCCTCGGAAGGAAGGTTGGGCAATCCTACTTCCGTAGTGATACTGCCTCGGAAACCCAAGGAGGGGTCGCTATGAGTCGGGGCCGACTCGACGGCACATAACAACAACAACAACAACATAGATACTTCTAAAAGTAGCTCCGGTGGCACAGTGGTTAAGGCAATTGGCTGCTAGCCAAAAGGTCAGCGGTTCAAACCTACCAGCTGCTCCGTGGGAAAAAGATGAGCAGTCAGCTTCCATAAAGATTTACAGGCTTAGAAACCCTGTGGGGCAGTTCTGCTCTATCCTGTAGGATCTTTTTGAGTTACAGTCGACTCAATGGCAGTGGGTTTTGGTATACTTCTACCTATTCTCACATTTGTATATACCTATACCTACCCATGGGAGCTCTGGTAGTATAGTGGCTAAGACACTTGCCTGCTAACCAGACAGCTGGCAGTTCAAACCCACCAGCCACTCCTCGGAAGGAAGGTTGGGCAATCCTACTTCCGTAGTGATACTGCCTCGGAAACCCAAGGAGGGGTCGCTATGAGTCGGGTTTGACTCGACAGCACATAACAACAACAACAACATACCTACCCATATAAGTATATTCCATCTGTTCTATTTATTTTTTTCCTTCTTCTCTGATTCTTTTTTTTTTTTTTTTTGTATTGTGGTTTGGGTGAAAATTAACAGAGCAAATTCACTTTCCATACAGCATTTCACATATATTTTGTTCCACACAGGGTGAGCCAGGGACCCCAGGAGCCAAGGTACTATTGCACAAGGAATGTTCTGGGCTGCATGGAGGAGAGAATGTGGGGTGGAGGGGGAGAGGCTGCTGCCATTCTGTTCTTGGTCCCCTGAAGCTGGCCTGAGGCTGGGAACCTGTGCAGAGAGGGGCCCTCCAGGGGGGCAGTCTGCTGCAAATGCCTCCCCACTTCCCTGGATCCTAGCTTGGACATCTAGGTCCCACACCATCTCGGCTGGTTTGCAGCAAGTGGTGACTGTTGTCTCCTGCACCTGCCAGGGTCTCTTTCTCTCACCTAGGAAATAAGAGCTGTAGCATAAGAAAAAGTTTCCATGGTCAACTAAACTTGAGAAATACTATGTAAAAAATGTTAGGTCTGTTTACAGCAGGCCTTCTCGGAGCCCTTAATATGATAATATGCATTGGGAAGCTCTGAGAAAAGAACTGTCTTGTGCATCATTACCAGACTTTTTTGACCAGAGAATCTTTTTTTTTTTTTTTTTTTAAGAAGAGCATCTAATGATGGGGCGAGTATTCTACAGAACCTGCTTTCCGCTGGCCTATGATCACTGCCCATTCCACCCCTCATCACCCCTACCCCCATCCTCTTATCAGTGACTTTCTCTTCTTACCTCAAAGGGAGACCCTCAGTTCGTATTATTCTACACAACAGCCTTCTGTTCCTCAGGGCCATGGAGAATGACCTGATACTAATGCCCCCTGGTGGAGTGTTCCAAAACCCAAAACCAAACTCACTGCCATGGAGTCGATTCCGACTCATAGCGATTCCCATTGGGCTTCCAAGGGAGTAAATCTTTATGGAAGTAGATTGCCCCATCTTCCTTCTGCAGAGCAGCTGGTGGGTTTCAACCACCAACCTTCTGGTTAGTAGTCAAATGCCTTAAGTACTACACCACCAGAGCTCCTTGGGGGCTAACCTAGTAGTGGACAGTCTGAGGATACAAAATTAAGTCTTTGTGACATAGAAGAATGAGCATCAAGAGACCTGGGTTCTAGACCTGGTTTTGCCACTAACAGGCATTTTCTGTAAGTCACTTAATGAGAGTGAGACTCAGATATCTCTGAGGGACTCTGTGATTCATGTCATGGGAAGGAAAACTAGAGTTCTTTGGTAGTGGATGAAGCTGGTTAAGAAAGCAAACTTCTTAAGATATTCCCCTAAAGGGCAAGTTCTGTTAGGTGCTTTTCTTTCTTCCCTCATGGTAGGGAGGAAGTAGGCAGGAGAGACAAGAGCCCTCTATTGCTAGACAATCAGAAAGTGGTTAACAGTGTAGTTGGCTCAAGGGAAGAGCTTCCCCACTACTGGCTTTCTAAACTGCTACCTGTTTCCTAAAGAGACTAAGTTTATTGGCCTCTATTACAGGCTGTGTACTCCTCACATGGTGTGAGTGATAAGGGCCGAGCAAATAGGAAGACAATAGTGCCAGCTGACTCCACACTGAGGAACTTGGAAGTAGCCCAGCTGGTGGCTACCCAGGGAGGGATAGGGGCCCAGAAGTATGTGGAGCCCTTCCAAGAATGGCCAAGGGAGGCAAGACAGAGGCCAGCCAAGACCCGAAGTGGATGGGACTGGTGCCTTCACGGATATCCTGGAGAAGTAGTTCCTCATATTTTCACTTTCACTGGTGCTTTCCCCCGCAGGGTGAGAAGGGCGCAGCGGGCTCCCCTGGGCTGCCTGGCCTCCTGGGACCGAAGGTAGGTAGGGAAGTGCCCTGGACGATGGTCCTCTAAGGCCTGTGTCCATCCCCACCAACATCTCATTCCAGCCCTGCTCACTCACTCAGGCCCTGGCATTGGCTGTGTTGCTCCTTCAGTCATGGGGGCAGGTGAAGCTGCTGAAACACAGCCAGATTCTATTTGGGGTGGGGAGGTGGGGTATCACAAGGAAGGCCCTGACTGGATCCAAATTGTCCAATTTCAATAATTCATTAGCTATTCCATGGTCAGATTTCCTTGTTCCAGCTCTGAAAACATGTTCCACAGGATCCTAGCTCCATAACACATTTAAATTTCATTGAAAATATACATGTACAATCAGTTGCTGTTGAATTGGGTCACTTCCAACACATGGCTACCCCATGTCTGTCAGAGTATGACTGTGTTCCATAGATTTTCAGTGGCTGGTTTTTGGAAGTAGGTCACCAAACATTTCTTCTGAGTCACCTCTGGATTGACTTGAACCTCCAGCCTTTCAGTTAGCCAAGTGTGTTAACCATTTGGACCACCCAGGGGAACTCCGTGTGTGTGTGTGTGTGTGCGTGCATGTGCGCATGTGTGTAGAGAGAGAGAGCCTTGGTGGTGCAGTGGTTAAGTGCTCAGCTGCTAACTGAAAGGTCATGGTTCAAATCCACCAGGGGCTCTGTAGGAGAAAAGACCTTGTGAGTTCCAGTGATTACAGCCTAGGAAACCCTGTAGAGCAGTTCTACACAGTGCTCCTTAGGCTGGCAAAGGCTCTGAGTAGTCCTGCAGAGAAGGAGCTTGCAAAGCTTTGTTTAACCCAGCACTTCCTAACATCGTTCTGCCACCATACTCTTTTTTCACAGATGAAATCTTTCTGACCCACTGAAGGAACCACCTTGGGAAATACTGCTCTAGACCCAGGCCTTGATGGGTCCCTGGTGTCCACTCTAAAGCAGTTGCCCTTCTGTAATGAGCTCCATTCCCTCCTCAAATTCCACTGCCAGACCAGCCTCTGAAGGCCTCTGATTTCCAGCCATCCTTGAGTCCACAGACCACTTAATGTCCCTGCAGAGCTCAGCATAGGCTGTGGCGTGACATGCTGCCCTTTAACTATGAGGGAGGGAAGACAAATAAGTGGAAGGCAAGTGTTCATCTACCTCCCTACAAGGTTGACCCAACAATGATAACTGCACTTTCCACCCCTAGGGAGAGAAGGGCGGTGCTGGCAATGCCATTGGAGGAGGTCGAGGGGATCCTGGCCCCCCAGGGCTCCCTGGGCCCCCAGGGCCAAAGGTGAGTGTTCCCCCAGGGGTCAACATTCAAGGGAGATGTTTGCCTGTGACCTTCAACCTCAGTCATTCTTGGGGACCTAATGTCCTAGATACTTTTCTTTCTGTGGCCTTCAGGGCCAAGGGTATAGAAGTCCAGTATGTGGAATTGGGTGCGTTAGTAGAAATCGGCAGGGAGAGACAATGGCCCAAAGACCTTCAATACCTGGGATATTAGCAGCAAGACTGTCTTTCACCCGCTTAAGCAGCTGCCCCAGCTGCCCTTCATGCCCTCACCTATCCCTCTCCTCTTCCCCAGGGAGAAGCTGGTGTTGATGGACAGGCTGGCCCCCCAGGACGGCAAGGAGACAAGGTACACAAGGGCTGCCAGATCTCAGGAGCTGCAGGATGAGGGTCAGCGGAGAGAGGGGAGTAGTCCAGGCCACCCTTTTAGCTGGACGTCAGGCACAAGGTTGACCCAGACACATGGGTGACTCCCACTGCCCCCTCTACTGCTGGCCACCATCTTTCCTGGCTGCCTTTGCCTTTGGAGAGCCTTTCCCTGGAACAGCAGTCACGCAAAGCCTCGCCCAGGGAAGGACACTTGAAATGGAGAAGCCCTAAACTGCTTGCTCCTGTTAGCTTCCCAAGCCCCGTGGCAAAGCTGGGCTCTCACCTCTCTCCAGCTCCTCCACTGTGAAAGGGTTCCGGCAGAGCCCTCACAGATGCCATATGACTAAAATTCTGTGTGTGTAGGGGAGGCACAGGGGCAGGATACTTGGACATGACAGTGACTCAACTCTCCCTGAGCTGATCTACTGAAAGGTCACCATGAGCCAAGTTGATTTTTCCCTTATTTTTACTTTCTATATTGATTTAAAAAAAAAAAAAAAAAGTCTTCAACTATGACATTATCCCAGAGAAATTGGAACTGTGAAGTGTTTCTCTTAATCTGCATCACTGTTTCATTCCATCCAAGCAGTTCTGTCATGTCTTTAAGAGGATCACATCCCACCACCTGCCCTCAGTCATATACCCCTGTGTCCCTGATACCCTGCAGTTTGGGTCTTTCACAAGCAGAGGGGACCCTGAAAGAAGAGGGTTAGGGACCCTGAAAGAAGAGCATGAAGAGGTCTCCATGACAATTATCGATCACCTAGACGATTGGCACAAACTCGCCGAGCCCTTGTCACATGAGCAGGATGGAAATAAAAGAGAAACAAAGGACCTGGTTCCTGCTTCCAAGGATGTGGCTGACTTAAGGGATGGGGGAAAGGTGGCCAGACAGTCACAAGTGGTTGTTGTTAGTTGTTGTTATGTACCCTCGAGTCACACCTGACTCATAGTGACCCCTCCTTGGGTTTCCGAGGCAGTATCACTACGGAAGTAGATTGCCCCATCTTCCTTCCGAGGAGTGGCTGGTGGGTTTGACCCGCCAGCCTTCTGGTTAGCAGTCAAATGCCTTAGCCACTATGCTACCAGAGCTCCGCTAGCAAAGAGCATAAGGCGGAATATCCTAAAATGCTAAGCGGGAGGGAGCAGGCTTCCTCGGAGGAGCTCAGAGGAAGAGGGGAGTGTGGGTAGGTTCAGGGGGTGCTTCCTGAAGAAGGCTGGGCTGTGCTGCCCTTTCACAGACAGGGAGGTCTGTGTCCCCTCAGCCTGAGAGCAGATGAGCTCCAGGCCCCTCCATGACCCCTGCTGTGTGGCCCAGCTGGGGACATCAATGCATGACCCAGCTCTGTCTCCATTTCACTTTAATTTTGTCATGCAACAGGGGGAGCCTGGAACAGCTGGAGAACAGGGGCCAGCTGGCACCAAGGTATGTGCTTCTGTGACCTGAAGTCACAGTGTGACATCTCACCTCCCTGGAGTCACAGTGGGAAGTGGCTGGGCCCTGGAGTCTTGATTAGACTCAGCCTTCTTGAGGTCTGGCTAGATTTCTTAGATGGAGTCTTGCCTATTGGTTCTAGAATCCCTGGGAATCCTCTGACAGTGTTTAGGATCCCCTCATAGGTTCCCCTCCAGCTGCTCTGAGGCCACCTGTGCAGTCAGGTGCAGGCAGCAGTGATGCAGTCCCCCTTCCATAGAGCACAGGCAGCAGTTGCCCCCAGGTCCTTCTGGGCCCAGGCCCTGGGTTGATACCTCATTTGTCTTGCAGGGCTCCAAGGGAGAACCAGGGAAAGGAGAGATGGTGGATTACAATGGAAACATCAATGAGGCTCTCCAGGTGAGTGGGTTCTAGCCCATAGACTAAAGATCTAGAAGTCTTGGACCTCAGGGCTCTGGTCCTAGGACACGATGAGGGTGCCTTCAACATGGGCCTGATTAAAGTCTCTGGAGGCCAGGCTACTGGGCAGAGCTTCCAGGAGAAAGAAGCTCCCTTGCTTTTTCCCCTTTGTTTTTTCCACTGTGCAGCCTCCAGCAAATGCCCGCCCCTCCCCCCCCCATCCTTTGGCATTCAGATGGCCTGGCTTGCCATCTGGGCATAACTGGCAGTTACCTGGCTCTGGACCTGAGAGCCATAATGGGTATAACCTGGCATCCTGCAGGTGTGCTGGTCCACCCAGGGTTCTGGGGCCATATTTCTTCAGTTCATGCACATGGTAGAGTCCTCTTTCTGAAATACATCCTTTTTTTGTTGATTTAATCATATTTTAAGTTCATAAGCTAATAATCCTTTAATGCAGGGGCTCTCAACTTCAGCACCATTGGTATTTGGGGCTGGGTAATGCTTTTTGGTCCCGTGTGTTATAGCATCCCTGTAGATGTGTTTAACAGCATCCCTGGTCTCTACTCATTAGATGGTAGTAGCACCACTTCCCCCTTCCTAAGTTACAGCAACCAAAAAACTGTCTCTCAACGTTCGCAAATGTTTTCACCCAGGGTTGAGAATAGTCGCTTCAAAGAAATTTATCACTGTGTGTGATTCATTTTTAAAGCCAATAGTCTTCCCTCTGTTTTTTTGTAAATGATCCGTACTTTGTTATCCTGCATTTATTTGAAGTTCAGAGGTACATCAGAACGTTGACATCTGAGCTCTGGGAGAAGAAGAAAGAACAAGGGAGGGTCTCCAGCAGGCAATTAGAAAGAATAAGAGAACATGCTTCCTTCCTTTCTTTTTGCAAAGTGAAGGAAATATTGGCAGTCCATTTTAGTGCATATCTGAGTCCCTTCTAGAACAGCCTTCAGAGCAGGGGTTAGCTTGTAAGATGATGAGCGTACTCTGTCCAGTGATTGCACTGGAAGTGAAAGGTTAATGGGGGTGGCATGGGGCCAGGAGCCGTGGAGGCCCACCTGGAAGAGTCTACTTCCTATCCTCCACCTGTGGTCCTTGGAGGGGCACAGTTCCAATGTACCTTAACCAAGCAGATGGCTCTTGATTTGCTCTTCAACTGACAGTGTGGTGTTGGTTTTTCAGGAGATCCGAACACTGGCCTTGATGGTAAGTCTTCCTCATTCCTCACTTTCCTTGGGCACTGGGCTAGGGGTTGAGGGAAAAGCAGCCTAGAAGCAAGGACTTGAGTTCTCCCCTTCAGCAGGCAGGCACAGGCTTCTGAGGCAGGATTGGGAGTCAAGACTTATGGTTGGGCCACTGGAGCTGTCCAGGCCCTAGGCCATACCTTGGGCTTCACTGATACAGCTGTGCATTCTAATGACAGCAGAAATGCTAGGTTCTATTTACAGTTGTTAAGTGTGCCTGGGTAGGGAAATGGTTTACACACTCAGCTGCTAACCAAATGGTTGGAGGTTCAAGTTCACCCAGAGGCTCCTTGGAACAAAGACTTAGCTATAAAATTCCGGAAAAGCAGCCATTGAAAACCCTATGGAGCATAGTTCATCTCTGACCCACACAGGGTCGCCATGAGTTGGAGTCGACTCAACTGGCAACTGGTTTACTAGTTTGATTTACAACTTGGTCAAGGAAATAGGGGTCTCAAGGAGGAAGTTTTATGTTTCACTTTTTTCTTAAACTTAAGCTAATAAGATCCATAACCCTGAAAAATCAATAGTGACCTCCACATTTCCCCCATCCCTAGAAATCAATTTTATCATCTGCACTTGAAAAACCAGTAGATGCCAAGTTCAGGTTTTGCAGGCATGCCTACCAGCAGTCAGCTCCCAATAAATATTTAGAATGAAAACACTCACTGCCAAGGTTTAGTTTATAAGGTGTAGAGGAGAGCGCAAGGTTGTCAAACTACTGAAATTTCATTTCACTTAGTATTTTTAGTGGCTCTGTGCCACACTGTACTGTGTTGGTTAAGGCATTTGGCTGCTAACCAGAGGGTTGGCGGTTCAAACCCACCAGCTGCTCCATGAAAGAAAGATGAGGCAGTCTGCTTCCGTAAAGATTTACAGCCATGGAAACCCAGTGGGGGTCACTATGAGTCGTAATCGACTCAATGGCAGTGAGTTAGGTTTTTTTGTTTATTGTGCCATACTTAGGGATGAAAAGCCTGAATAAATGCCAATCATATACTGTCCAATCCCAGAAACTGATATTAACTAATGTGATTCTGGAATCAATGAGAATCATGGGGGAACATTAAAATATATCAGTTGAAATCGCTCTTGGAAGCAAAACTTTCCTAGAGATATTTGTTTTGTCTTAAACAAATATTAAAATGTACCTGTTTTAAGTGTAGAGTTAATGAGTTTTGACAAATTTATACACCCATATTCCCACCAAGGAGCTCTGGTGGCATAGTGCCTGAGGCATTTGACTGCTAACCAGAAGGCTGGCGGTTCAATCCTACCAGCAACTCCTCAGAAGGAAGATTGGACAATGTACTTCTGTAGAGATACCACCTTGGAAACCCAAAGAGGTCACTATGAGTCAAATTGACTTGATGGCAGTGAGTATATACCCACCACACAATCACTCCGGAAAGTTCCTTCATGCCCTTAGGAGTCAGTCCCACCCCCACCCTCAGCCCCAAGCAACCGCTGATCTGCTTTCTGTCACTATAGGTCAGATTTATCTTTTCTAGCCAAAAACCAAACCCACTGCCATCAAGTCGATCCCAATTCATAATGACCTATAGGGTTTCCAAGGCTATATACATCTTTACAGAAGTAGATTGCCTAATCTTCCTCCTTGGAGCAGCTGGTGGGGTTGAACTGCCAACCTTCTGGTTAGGAACCAAGTCCCTTAACCACTGCACCACCAAAGTTCCTTATCTTTTCTAGAGTTGCCTATTAATGGACTCACATGGTATATAGACGTTCTTGTCTGACTTCTGCTGAGAGCTAGCATGTGTTTGAGACTCATCCATGTCATTGCAGATACCAGTATTTGATTATTTTTAAATTGCTGTGTAGGGATCCATTGTATGGATGTGTTGTATTCACCTGTTCATGGTCGTAAGGGTTGTTTTTTGGAGACATTTTTAAGTCCTCAGGGAAAGGTGGATTTGTGTCCTTGGAGGTCCAGGAGTCCCCTGGGATGTCCTAGAGAGAAGGGGAGGGAGAGGCTATTGGGCTCTAGGACCCCCACACTCCACTTTAACCCAAACCAACTCCATGCTTATGTATTTTGCATTTTGGGATTCCCCATGTTATTTTCTTTGCAAAAGAAAAAGTGGTTCTACTACTGAAGAAAGTTTGAAAACCTGTGTTCTCTCTGAGCCAGTTTCCCCATTTATCCCTCTGGGGAGAGGCATTCCACCTTCAGTCAGAAAGCTCTCCGATGTGGCTTTCTTTTCTTTCCTAGGGCCCCCCTGGTCTTCCTGGGCAAATTGGCCCACCCGGAGCTCCAGGAATTCCAGGCCAGAAGGTAAGATCTGTCTTCATGGGGCAGGGGCTGGTGTGCAAAGGCACCATCACCCCCCAGAGCACAGTGACCGGGCTGCTCTGTCCTGTACTCTCATCTCCCCAGAGCCCTCACCACAGAGTTCTCACCTGTAATTCTTCCCGATGCTCCCAGGCACCAGTGCCCTGACCGCCCACGTCACAGTTACTGTCTTTCCTCCCAGACCTCAGCCATAGCATCCCTCATGTCTTTCTCGGGCTCCTGTAATTCACAGAACCCCTTGATGTGGTGGAGCCTGAGTCTAGGCTTGCCCTGCCCAAACCAGACCCCCAGCTGTGATCTCAAGTCGCCCATCAGGGAATGTGGCTTTGAGGCCCTCCCCAATCTCCTCCCCCAACCCTTGCCCACATTTGCCTCCCTCTTATATCCCCCACCCGTAGACCCCTGTGCTCTTTTTCGAAATGTAGTCCACTTTTGCCTGTCTATCCTGTGCTCAGTAGGAGCTCTGGTGGTACTATGGTTAAGGCATTGGGCTGCTAACCAAAAGGTCAGTGGTTTGAACCCACTAACCCCTCCACAAGAGAAGATGAGGCAGTCTGTTTCTGTAAAGATTTACAGCCATGGAAACTCTATGGGGGTCGCTATGAGTCGGAATTGCTCAATGGCAGTGGGTTTGTTTTTTTGGTTTGATCCTGTGCTCAAAGAGCCCTAGTGCCACAGTGTTTAAGTGCTTGCTGCTGCTAACCAAAAGATCAGCAGTTCAAACCCACCAGCTTCTCTGTGGGAGAAAGACGTGGCAGTCTGCTTCTGTAAAGATTTACAGCGTTGGAAACTGTGTGGGGCAGTTCTACTCTGTCTTCTAGGGTTGCTATGAGTTAGAATCGACTCACCAACAGTAGGTTTGGTTGGGTGGTTATCCTGTGTTCATGAGGCTTCCTGCCCTACAAGCCCATTCCCCTCTTCCTTACCTTTCTCATCTTCCAAGCCCAACTCACAGGTCACTTCCTCCTTGAAGCCTCCCCTGATGTATCAAGCAGAATTCACCACCCTTCCCTCTGTGCTCCTCTCATTAGCATGTATATCATTTTGCCTTGTGATGGGGCTGGTTGTTTACCTGTCATTCAAGGCAGAGTCCATGCCTTCTTCACTTCTGCCCCTGACCTAAAGAAGGGGTTTCAGTTAATGTGAAGATTTAGGGGTGGAGAGGGCAGCAAGGGCTTGTGAGGAGACAGGGAGGCAGGCACCCTCTTCCCTCCCTGATGGCGTCAGTGCCGAAGGCTCTCTGAAACAGCTGCCCAGGCAATGGGAGGTTGTAGTTAAAAACACACAGGAACTGCAGTCCTGGCCTGCTATTTACTAACTGTGGGCTGGGCAGGTTATTTAACTCTGTGCTTTCAGGTCCTCCTCTGTAAGACAGAGGCAATAAAAGCACATACCTCACAGGATTGCAATGAGAATTAAATGGGCGAACTGTATGTTCAAGTGCCGAGAAGAATGCCCAGCTTGTCGGAAGTCCTCTGTCAACGTCAGTCATTCATATTTTTATTGCTGGCTCTGGGAGTGACCTTTAGTTGTTCTGGTAATAGGGGGAGATTGGACTGCCAGGCCCTCCAGGACATGATGGGGAAAAGGTAAGAACTGACACCCCCTGACAAACCTTTGAAAATAGTCCAAAGCCTGGGGAGGTGGGGGAGGGGGCAGGAACAAGCCCAGGCTATAGAGTCTTAGTGGACAAGCGAAGAGGGGAGGTGGGAAAAGAGCCCACACTGCAAAGGCCCAGCTGAACCCCACACTACAGGCTCCCAGGGAAGCCAGGAAGACCCCTGCTGGGATGAGCAGAGCTGTTGGCCACGGACCCATGGTTGTCTTTGCCTGGGCCCAGCCAAGCACCAAAGAGCCAAGTCTGACTGCCCTTAGAACCCCCCATGCTTCCATGTTCTCTACCTCCTCTTTTCTCCATCAGTGCATCTAATAAGTGTTGCTGCTATCTTCCAAAGGGACCTCGAGGCAAACCAGGAGACTTGGGCCCCCCTGGTCCACAAGGACCCCCAGGAAAGGAGGGGCCTCCAGGAATGAAGGGAGAAGATGGACGCACAGGGAGCCCAGGAGAAAAGGGGGAGAGAGGGGAGATGGGACCAGCAGGCTCCCCGGTAAGTGGGTAGAGCTGGAAGCCAGGCCCCTTGTCTCCACCTTTCCATGAATTCACCATCCCCCCATACCCGCTCTGCATGTGCCAGCTGCGGCCTGGAAAGCTGGAGCCAGGAATTGAGAGTGGAAGGTTCATCCAGGGTTCCTTGCTCCTAAGCCACTCACTGTCTGAAAGGGAGTTTTCTGACTCAACAGACCTGGGTCCTGTCCTGTCATCACCTGTCTGTGACCTTTGTGTAGTCATGGAGCCTTACAAAGCCTCTATTTCCTAATGGGTTGTTGGGAAGGAGATGAAGTCATAGATGTAAAACAGCGCCTTTGGAACACATGCAGAAGCCCTATGCCCAGGAGAGGGTGTGTGGACAAAGGGCCCTCAGCCCAGTCCAGCTAGGTGGGTGACATGACTTGGAGCCTTCTCTGGGCTTCAGTTGTTCCCATCTGTGAAGTGGGCATCCTCCTAGCACCCGTGCTGGAGGGAGGGAGCCATGCATGCATGCCAAATCTGGTCATGGATTCTCCTTGTGACCGCCTCGTGCTTCACTAACAGAGGTCTTTGTCAATCTGTAGGGTCTAGACGGCCCAACTGGGGAGAAAGGAGAACCAGGTGACCAAGGGAGACCCGGAGCGACAGGATTGCCTGGCCCCAGTGGGCTCCCGGGATTTACAGTAAGGCGAGAGGGCCGGGCGTGGAGATTGTGGGCAGGCAGCTGCAGGCAAGGGTGTGTGGTCAGGGGGCTCCTCACTGCAGCCTCCAGCCTCGTGGGGTTGCCTGGCACTGCTGCCATGAGGCTGCACGAACCCCAGCCTGCCTGCCCACCAGCCACAGGGGCTCCTTCAGATAAGCAGCTCCTAGCCTGAGAGGCCTTTGAGTATAAACAGGGATCCCGCTTCCTCAGCTCACAGCAAGGTGACTGCTGTCTTCTAGCCAACCTTGTTCAAAGCATGTAGAATCTCGGAACCTAGAAGTCAACCCATTCTCCTCCCACCCAATGCAGGCATCCCCCTGAAGCCACTTTGACTGCCACTGAGATAGGCAAAGAGCTCACAGCCTCCTCCACGTCCACCTAGTGTAATGTGGGGCAGCTCTGAGACAAAGGACATGCTTCTTGATGCATGGTGGAAGCTTCCTCTTTGTAACAACTCCTCCCCACTCTGGCCTTCGTTCTGTCCTCTGGACTTGTATTCATTGTCTATGTTACATAACAAATTCCCACAAATTTAGTGGCCTAAAACAATATGTATGTCTCACAGCTTCTGTGGGTCAGGAGCCCAGGCATATCTCAGCTAGGAGCTCTGCCCAGGGCTGCAATCAAGGTGTTGGCAGGCTGCAGTCTCTTCTGGGATAACAGGGGTTCCAGAGTCCTCTGGCAAGTTCACACAGCCATTGGCAGAATTCATCTCCTTGCTATTGTAAGGCTGAGCCCCTCAGCTCCTAGAAGCCATCTGCAATTCCCTCCCGTGTGGCTCCTCTCATAGGCAGGTCACATTTCAGCAGCATTCTGCTTCCAGGTGGGCAGGAGAGCCTCTCTAGCATGCTGGCACCCAAAAACCCAAATCACTGACCGTCAAATCAACTCTGACTCATGGCAACCTTATGTGTGTCAGACCGGAACTGTGCTCCGTAAGATTTTCAGTGACTGATTTTTCAGAAGGAGAGCACCAGGACTTTCTTCCAAGGCACCTCTACGTGGACTCAAACCTCCAACTTTTTAGTTAACAGACAAGTGCATTAATCATTTGTGCTACTCAGGAACCCCCATATTAACAAGACAGAGCTATATATGTATACATTATATATATATATATATTCACTTTTGCCATATGCTATATTCTATTGATGAGAAGCAAGTCACAGGTCAACCCTAGGGTCAGTCTGCCTCAGAATCCATACAGAATAACAGCCTCTCCTCCCACATTCTAGAACCTCCAGTTCTTTTTTTTATTATTATTATTGTGATTTGGGTGAAGATTTACAGAGCAAATTCACTTTCTGTACAGCAGTTCACATACACTTTGTCTCATGTCATTGACCACAGTTTACCACAATGCAACAGCTCCCCTCCCACTTCCTCCCCTAGTCACCTCCTCCCAGTGTCCATCCCTCCATACACTCCTGCCCCCTGAGCTGTCTCCCTGTGCATAAGCAGCCCTTCTTTCTCCCATGATTGTTCTCTCCAAGAAGTGTATCTACTTGAGGTAAATGTTTAACTCATATACCTGTATTTTGTTTGGCTGGAAGCCACAGGTGTGGGTTCAATTCCAGACCTGAAGGGCAGCTAGGGGCCATAGTCTCAGTGGTTCCACCAGGCTCTATGGGACCAGCAAACCTGGTCCCCCCCGCTTTTCTTTCCCCCTCCAAATGATTTTGAGTTTTTTTCCACATTGTTCTTCCTCTCTATCAAAGATCTCCTACATACATCCCCTTCCAAGTGGATGACAGTGGTAGCCAAGCACCATCTAGTTCTTCTGGTCTCATAGTCATATAGGCTGCAGATCAGATGGTGTACCAGTCACTAGGACTAATTGTTTCCATGAATTTTGGTTTTCTTCATTCTTCTTTGCTCTGGACGAGGAGAGACCCATCGTTGCATCTAGATGGCAGCTTGCTAGCTTTTAAGATCCCAGTCGCTCCTCGCCAAAGTAGGAGGTGGAACAATGTTTCGTGTAGTATGTTATGCCAATTGCGCTTGATGTCCCCTGCGACTATGGTCCCAAGCCCACAGGTTCAACTACTCGGTCGCTCTGGGTAGCTGGCTGTGACCAAGCAGTGACCACAACCTTGCCCCTTGTCAGCTCTACTATACACCTGGGAATTCTGATCATTCACATAAATTTATAGGACCATTGTCTGCCAACCCTATATATGTTCTTGGATACACTCCCCATTCCATAGACATACCTAATCGTTTAGCCTGTCCACCCATCCATCCATATACCCATGCTTGCCTTCACTGACAATGCAGTACTGTATGTGCAAAAGGGTTCATATTTGTTGTCTGTACCTCTGATGTACCTCTATGTCTTTCTCATCCTCAATACTGCCATACTGGTCACTCACATTTGGTACATTGCCCTTCTCTTCACCCAAATCAATACTTATCTCTATCTGTCTAACAGCATTCCCTCCCCTCCCCTCCCACCCCTGATAACCAACAAAGAAAGTTTCCTTCTATAGATAAACCTTTCCTTAACTTTTACAGTAACAGACTAATACAATATTTGTCCTTTTATGATTGACTTATTTCACTCAGCATAAGGTCCTCCAAGTTTATCCATGTTATGCAGATTCTACATTATAGAACCTCTAGTTCTTGAAGGCAGTGATCACAGGCCCCCTGCCCCAGTCCTCTCTAGTTGGGGCTGATGACCTCCAAGCCTTCCAAGATGTTCCTTCTTGAGCCCTAACCCAATCTAAGGAGTCTTGGTAGCATGGTGGTTAAAACAGTCAGCTGCTAACCAAAAGGTTGGCTATTCGAACACCCACCAGCTGCTCTGTGGAAGAAAGATGTGTCAGTCTGCTTCCATAAAGATCCCAGCCTTAAAAACTGTATGAGGCATTTCTACTCTGTCCCCGATGGTACACAACACCAACAACCCCAGTGTAGTGTGTCACAGATCTGAGGGTCTGATGTGCCTCGGCCCCCTAGTGCTGGCATTCACATCACTGTGTTTTGTCCCCACAGGGAGAGAAAGGAGAACCTGGGGAGAAGGGTGACCCAGGCATGGAGGTAGGTGGCGTCTCCTCTTCCATTTATGTCCCAGGAGATGATCTGACAGGGTCCCTGTCAACCAGCAGTCTCCCCAGGAGGCACAGCATTTCCATGTTCTAGAATGAAATCACAGGTGCCTGACACAGGAGGGAGAAGAAGCTGAAAGTCTGCTGAGCACCATAGCGGGTCAGGAGTTGAGCTTCAGGGCACTCTCAGCTCTCTGTTAATCAAGTCTCTCAGTGACATTCTGGGAGCACTTGCCAGTTTCAGGCCTCGTGCTAGAGTCTGGAGAGAGAAAAATAAGTAGAACTGCCCTGTGCAGTTCCTGACTGGTGGTGGTCATACAACTCTGTGTGGGCACTAAAATGCTAAAAGTATCCCCAGTGATGGGCACTGGAGTGGCAGCAACACAGGGAGTCAGGAGAGCTTCACAGAGACAGGCCATTTGAGCAGGGCTTTGGAGATATAGGAGTTTTCCTAGATGATTCAGTTGTAGCCTTTCTAGACAGAGACACTATTCTTTTGAGACTTGTTGGGGTGAAGGGAAGAGGAGAGAAAGAAGAGTAGAGTGAAAGATAGGATGGCGGCAAGGTTTTCCTAAGATGGGAGAGAATTGGGCCTGTTTGTGGGCTCAGAGGAGAGCCAGGGAAACAATACAGATCACGGATATGTAAGGGAGAGGATAGTTTCTGAGAGGCACACCTCCTCTGAGTGAAGGGAGAGACCACCAGCCTTCTCAGTCCCAGCAAGGTCCCTTGGCCTTGGTTGCTCATTAATGTCACCACATCCCATCTGAATTTTGTGAAATAGGCCTGTTTCTATATGTGGTGGTGTTGTTAGGTGCTTTGAGTCAATTTTGACTTGTAGTGACATAGTAGAACTGCCTGATTGGGTTTTCCAGGCAGTCTTTACAAGAGCAGGTCACCACGTCTTTCTCCCATGGAGCCGCTGGGTGGGTCTGAACCACAGAGCTTTCCATTAGCCGCCAGGGCTCCTTAATCTATATTCCATATGTAGAAATGGATACCCTCCTAAAGAAGTCATCCTAAATTCAGGAAAAAAGCATTAGACACAAAAATGTTCCTCCCACAAGTACATAAGTAAAACTTGGAAACAGCCTGCATTTCTAACAAGAAAATGGGTAAGAATAGTCACAATGCTTGAGAGCTCTCTGTGTGCCAAGCACTGCTCCAAGCCCTAACTAGTAACCAGGTAATAACTAATTTTCATTCTACTCAAATAGCACATGGCTGTTAAAAGGGGAACATACAAAACACAGAATAATGGGTTTTATGCTATGTTACAAAAAGAAGAGAACCAAGCTCTATCTATAATAGCAAATACCCACCCCCTCACTGCCATCAAGTTGATTCTGACTCATAGCGACCCCCTTTGGGTTTCCAAGGTGGTAAATCTTTACGAAAGTAGATTGCCTAGTCTTTCTTCTGTGGAGTGGCTGGTGGGTTTAGAACCACCAACCTGCTGATTAGAATCAAATGCTTAGGCACTGTACTACCAGAGCTCCTTCGATAGCATGTAAGTAAGTATATACATATATTCAAATACATTTTATGCATCAAAAAAGAGCAGAAGGAAATAAAGCAAAATATTAGCAGTCCTTCTCTGCTAGGTAGAACAAGTGATTTAGTCTTTTTTTTTTTCTTTCAATTTTCCTTTAATTTATAAAACATTTTAATGAGTCTGTATTTTGTTTTAATTTTTTTAAATGACCATAATGTAAAGTTGAGTTTTGTGGAATATATATAGTTCTATGAACATACATGTTGTTGTTGTTGTTATGTGCCGTCGAGTCGGCCCCGACTCATAGCGACCCCTCCTTGGGTTTCCTAGGCAGTATCACTACGGAAGTAGATTGCCCCATCTTCCTTTTGAGGAGTGGCTGGTGGGTTTGAACCACCAGCCTTCTGGTTAGCAGTCAAGTGCCTGAGCCACTATGCTACCAGAGCTCCTATGCATAGAGAGTTGTATAACCAGTGCCACCAAGAGAATACATATACTATTTTTTTTATTCCAAAAAAGAAAAAGAATAGACTTTTTTTTTTTTTTTAAGAAGGTAAAGTTTCCAAAGATTCCGTTCCCAACAAGGGGACTACAGCATTATGGAACTGAAATGTCCAAGGTCTAAGGGATGTTAGGAATGTTAGCGTCCTCCTGTCTGTCCAGTGCAGGAACTCCCTCTGTGGTAGCTTGACAGAGGGATCTCTGCCTGGGCACCATCCAGGGGATTCCATCCCTGAGAAGGCAAGTCACCTGAGGAGAGTCCCAAAGCCAAGGTGGGGTGACCAGGTCAGAAAGGAGCAGGCAAGTCTCCTTCCTGCTTCTCAGGTGGCCAACTAGAGGCAAATGGATGTCCATCTTTACCAAAGACACGGATTCTGTAGAGAACAAGAGAACCCTGGGCTCCTCCATCTTCCCTATCCCAGCTGACTATCTTCTACTACACGTGACTCCAGTTCCTCTTGTGTTGCCCTCAAGCAAAATGAAATCCAACAGTCCCCATCCATCTGCTACAAACCTGGGGGACTTGAGGAATGTTCTTCAGGAACATCTCAGCCCCCCTCCATTCCAGATAACCAAACTCTGCTCCTCTAAGCCAAGGGTCTCAAACTCAAATTCCTGCAAGGGCCAGGCAAGCAACAAGTGAATGCAAGAGGTCTAAGTTAGAGACAACAGGGAGTGGTGGAGATTGAGGTAAACTAGCGCTCTCTTGCTCCGTATAGAGGAGAAAACTCTTAATCATCTCCAGCTGATTGTTGCCATGTATGAACAAGAACCTACTATTGCCAGAGCTTTTCAAGAAAAACTGAGAGAACAGATGTTTGGGGGACATTTCCTGGCAACATTTTCTTTTTGACATTGTGCTTTGACATTGTGCAGGCCAATGGAGTTCCATGAGTTTCTGGGCTGTTCTAAGCCTAATTTTGGGAGAAGGTGTGCTGGGCAGGCATTAGATGACCACCCCTGGGCAGTCCTGTCCTCTCAGGACTTGTAGTCCCCACCTGGACCCTGGCAGGGTAAGAAGGAAGGACACTTCAAGTGTAACAGGGATTAGGCTGACCCTCCTCCCATTGATTTCCAAGTTCCTGGTCCACCAGGGCCACAGGGGCTTCCCAGACCTCCAGCAAGTTTGGAGGGATTTTCAGCATTTCAGTGCACCATGGTCAGGTATCTAATGTCCCCTCCCCATGACAGTCACTGGGCACAACCTCAGCCTAAGGTTAGTATCACCTTCTTATCCTGGGGGAAAGGGGTTCTTGTACACAAATCCCTGCTCCTCTTTCCCCTCCATGTTAAACAGGTACCTCCTATGACATCAATGAGCCTGGCAGTACTCAGTACCCTGGAAATAGTTGGACAGAATGCCAGGCCCCAGGGTCTGGTCCCACAACCCTACAGGAGTCACTTTGTCACCCAATTCTGCCCAACATTTAATTCTTTGCCATAAGACATCTGCTACCCTTCCTCCTTCCTGCAATCAGCTGACAAGATGACTAGGATTAAAAGAAAAAGTGACCCATTTATACCCAGCCTCACTGGATGGGTCATTCCTTACTAGATGCCTACAGATGATAAAGTGATTGCTTTGAACAGGTCCTTTGCATTGCAACTAATAAGCACTCAAGCAGCCTAACCCAACAGATGCTGATCTTTGCCTCTGAAGGTTTACAGTGTCTGCCATTGTCATTGGTAGAATAATAGTAGTGTGGAGGATGTTGTTTTTAGGTGCCATCAGATCACCCCACAACTCATGGTGACCCCATGCCCAGCAGAACAAAACATCGGTCTTGTACCATCCCCATGATCAGTTGTGGGTCAGAATGATGTGATCCACAGGGTCTCATTGGTTGATTTTCAGTAGATCAGCAGGCCTTTATTCCTAGTGACCTTTATTCCTAGTCTGGAAGCTCCGCTGAAACCTATTCAGCATCATAGCAGCACATAAGCTTCAACTGACAGAGGTGGTGGCTGCACATGAGGTGTATTGGCCAGGAATCAAACCCAGGAAGGTCTCCTGCATGGAAGGCGAGAATTCTACCACTGAATCACCACTGGCCACTAGTAGTAATGATACCAAAAGAACCAAACCCACTGCCATTGAGTCAATTCTGACTCATAGCGACCACCACTGGGTTTCCAAGGTGGTAAATCTTTACAGAAGTAGATTGCTCAGTCTTGCTTCCATGGAGTGGCTCTTGGGTTTGAACCACCAACCTTCTGGTTAGATTCCTTAGTCACTGTGCTACCAGAACTCCTTAGTAGTTATGATGGCCAACATTTATTGAAAATTAATTTGTGCCAGACACTATTCTAAGCACTGTGCATATATTAATTTATTTAATTTATGCTATGTTACTTCTGAGACTGCTCCATGAGACTCTGGGTCTGTGTGCGGGCCATGGAGAGATTCTCTGTCAGTCCCCAGCTAGAGGAAGCCAGCTCAGACTATCAACCAGAGTATGTACCTGCAGCTCCTACCCTGGGAAGAAGCCCCAAGCCCAGCTCCCATAGAATTCTCTTCTACCTTTCTAGGGCAGGGACCCTAGACCACTCTATACCCAAACCCCTTGTCCTTTTGTGACCCAATATTTAGGCAAGGGAGTTGATTTAACCAGAAATGCAGTTCTAATGCACTGTGTTTTGATTCCATATGCAGGGGCTCCAAGGTATTCCTGGACCAAAGGTAAGAAGAGATCATGTGATAGGTGCTGGGCCAGAGGGTAGGGGAGAGACTGGGTCAGAAGGAAAGAGCTTCCAAGGTAGATGGTCCCGCTGACTGTCTTCCTCAAACAGAATCATGTGATGCCCTGGCCTGTGGGCACCATCGGGGCAGAATGACCTCTTGTGGTCCCTTTAACACCTGTCATTGGCATCTGGCATGCTTGGATTCAGAGTTTTCCCATCCGTCAATCAACCCCACAGAGTGGCATTCTTAGAATCCAGAGTTTCATTCTTAGCAAAAGCAGAAAGCTTTTTCCCATCTAACCTGGTGCTAACCCTTCATTCACCCCGAAGTGGGAAACAGAGAGCAGCATAGAAGGGACCCCTCTCCAGGCCAAGCCCACTGAATGCTGGGATGTGGCTTTTCCCATCTTCCCTTGAGCATTTCAAAGGGATAAGGGGGCTGCCTCTTGCCCTTGATGCTTCAGGGGATTGTAGGGGAATTTCTTCTCCCACCAACTCTGGGAACTTCAGAGCTCTGGTGGTAACATTCCAGTATCACCAGAAAATCTGCAGGGCCCCAGCTTTCCTGCCATACAGGTGGTCAGGTCCTCAACCATGCCACAGCCTGACCTCGCACTGCCTTGTGAGGTTGTCCCCACACCATCCATCCCTTTGGGGTAGACTGAGAGTGACTGCAGGGATACTATAGGGGAACTGAAGTGAAGCCAGGCTAAGAATCCAGGGGTCCTTGGAGTCCCCAGACTGCCACCCCTGAGCCAGCCACCTCCATGTCCTCTCCACCCCAGAATGCAAAAATGAGTCATCTGGGAGAAACCCTTCTGTGATCTTCCCCATCTGTCTTCCCTTCAGGGAGAAGCAGGACTAGATGGTGCAAAAGGAGAGAAAGGTTCCCAGGGAGAAAAAGGAGACCGAGGTCCTCTGGGATTGCCCGTAAGTATCGTGGACCCAACAGTGTCTTGGACACAGTGGGTCCAGGAGCCTGGGTGGTTGTGATGGGGCCAGGGACACTGGGCAGGGACCTGGGAGAGGCTGCCAAAGTTCTCAGCATTCCAGCTCCATGTGGCTGTTCTTTCCAACATGAACAAGACCATAGGCCCTTATTCTCTCATTGAGGGCTCCCTCTAGACCAGGCTCTGGCCTAGGCTCCGGAGGACAACAAAGATGAATAAGACAGTGTCTCTACCCCCAAGGAGCACCCAGCTGGAAAGCCAGAAGTGGCCTGAGAACAGCCTCAGGCCCTGCTTATTCCAGATCCAGAGGCAATAAGTCTACCTTATGGAGGTCAAGCTGGGAAGGCTTGGGAGCAAAGGAACAATGGGACATTCTCCATCTATTTCCACCTTTTCCCAGAGGGACCCCAGAGAACCCCTGCTCTTTTCTCCTAAGCACTGGCCACAGCAGATAATCTAGTAAAGGGCAAATCCTTTGGTCCTAGCAGGCTAAGGGCACTCAGATCCCGAGTTCCCAGTGACCTCTGAGCACAGCTGCCCGGGGCTGGAACCAGCTCAGAGACAGGTACTGTTCAAAGGCATCCACATTTCTAGGTGTGTGGGTTAGGTGGATCCCTTTGCCCCAAGCTCCAGTGGGCTGATGGCTTCTGGACCCCCTCACCTGTGTCCAGGTGAGTGAATCTGACCATTCATCCCTGGAGCCCAAGGCTCCGTCCTCCCTCCACACTGAAGTGGGAAACTTTTTTTAAGATCTGGAAGAGAGGAGCAATCCATCTAATCATTCTACTCATGAGCCCAGAGAAGAAAGTGAGTCACTTGAGGTCATACAAGAAGTCTGTGGCCAAGCCAGGGGCTGCAGCCTCACAAAGGGACTCGACTCTCTCCGACCACTCGGGCTTCTCTGTCCCGGGCTCAAGTCCAGTCCCCTCCCCAAGGAAGCTGTAAAGAGCCAAGGGAACAATGGGAAGCCCAATTAACCCAGCTTGGCAGCGCTTGAAGGTCTGGTTAATATAATCACAGTAACCAAATAGCAAAAGCAAAGGTATAATTACACCCTCATTAATGCAGCAAATGTAGGAATACTTAAGAAGCTGATTCTTCGCTTGACAGACTCCAGAAAACTGATGACTTTAGCAGACATTTTCCCAGGTCTTAAGCTTGTGTCCAGAATGATTAAGAATTCCTTACTATTAAAAGAGCCTTCCTGCCCCCACTCAACCACGGATCTCTCCTTGTCCACCTTCATGGCCCCAAAAACCCTAATAAACACTGGAGAAGTCAGTCAGAGGTTGAAATTCAAATGCCACAGAAGCCGATTAGGTAATATAAACAAGGAACAGGCCAGATGAAAGACAAAAGACCCTGTCTGTCTTTTATTGTCCAACTTTTGATAGAGACATATGTGCAGAGAAATACTTTTTCTAGGTTTACTAAAACAGAACTAGCATATTCGTGAATAGCGATTAATACTGACTTTAGGGGTGCAATAGGAAGTGGTGAGGACTATGGTGCTGTGGAGACCATGTGCCCCTTCTTAAGGGGAACAGCCCCTTCTCAGCTTAGCTGACTGATGCCCTGGGGACATGGGGGCCCAGTATTTCTGGATCATTCCATTTTCTAAGGGAAGCTGAAAGTTTGGCATTTTATATGAAATCACCTTTCTAACACTTTCTAATAGACCATATAAGATATTTCAGTGATCTACTTCTGGCCTGAAATCTTCCAGTTTGTGCCTTCTGCTCTAGAACTCTCAAGAAAACTCAGTGTTTGTACTGCACAGGCCAAAACTGTTAACCATTGAGTCGATTCTGACTCACGGTGACCCCATGTGTGTCAGAATAGAACTGTGCTCCACAGGGGTTTCAAGGCTATGACCTTTCAGAAGCAGATCACCACAACTTTCTTCCAAGGTACCTGTGAGTAGGTTTGAACCTTCAACCTTTTAGTTAGTAGTCAAGTGCTTAACTGTTTGTGCTACCCAGAGAGTCTTGCATAGACAAAGCATGTGGATATTTGGCTAAAGTTCTGTTTTTAGGCTTCACCTGGATATTCCATTGGTAGTAGCCTGCTTTTCCAGAATATCTTTGTGAATTCCCCCATTTGACCTACAGAAGTAGTTCTTGACGCTGGTTGGGCACTTTGTAAAAATACCATTACCCAGGTCCTACTCTTAGAGGCTCTCATTGAACTAACCCAGGGTGGGGCCCAGGCATCTGTATTATTTAACATCTCCCTGGGAATTTGAATATGCAGCGATAGCCCTCTAGGCTGATGCACCAAAGTCGGTCCAAGAATTAGGTGATCCTTAGAGCCTGGTGAAACCCCTGAGACTATAGCTCCTAGTTACCCTTCAGGCCTGAAATGGAACTCATTCCCGTGGCTTCCAGCCAAACAATAGACAGGCATATAGAGTGAACATTTACACCAGCTAGCTACACTCCTTGGGAGTTCTGATGGCGGAGTGCCTAAGGCATTTGACTGCTAACCAGAAGGCTGGTGGTTCAAACCCACCAGCCACTCCTTGGATAGAAAGTTGGGCAATCTACTTGCATAGAGATACCACCTCAGAACCCCAAGGAAGGGTCACTACGAGTCAGTCTGACTCAATGGCAGTAAGTTTGGTTTTTTGATTTGGAAATATACTCTTTAGAACAATCAATCATGGGAAAATAGAAGGGCAGTATTTGCACTGGGAGATAGCTCAGGGGGCAGGAAGGCATAGGAAACAAGGACACAGGGAAGAGATAACTACAGGGAGGAAATGGAAAGAGAGCTGTTACATTGTGGGGATTGCAGTCAATGTCATGAAACAAAATGTATATGAATTGCTGTATGGAAAATGAATTTGCTCTGTGAACTTTCACCCAACTCACAATAACAATTTGAGGGGAAAAGAAAAAAAGAATTAGATGGTCCTAAAACACAGAAGTGACTAGTCCTTCTAGAATCTTTCTACCCAATTCTCTTTCGTCAGGAGGAAGCAGCTCCCTTCTCCCTCCCTCTCCTGGGGGCTTCCCTCCCACCTTTACAATCCTGAGGCCAACATTCATTTCTGAGGCCCAGTTGGAGGGAGTTTTCAAGAACCTAGTCCTTACTGAGCTAGAGTGGTCCTGCGGCCTTCTCCCTTGCTCGTCACATTGGAATTAATGGGAAATTTTCTCCCTTGCCTTCCCAGGTGGCTGCAGAGAGGGTTCCTTCACCTAGCACTGGGCCAGGAGTTTCCATGGCTGACATATATGTCACTAGGCAGCAAGCAGTGAGGACACTGGAGAGGGAGCCAGTGTTTAAGCTTCCCACCTGCCTGCCAGTTTGCTCCCAAAAATACTTGCACTTAGACCTCTGTCCCAGTCAGCTGCCCTCAAAGCCTTTTTCTATAAAAGAGCCCTTGACTGGAAACATATGAATGGATATGGAAGCATATGAATGGGTGTTCAGTTTACAAACTGTAAAGGGCCAGAGAAATGTCAGACATCATTATTAGTATCATTCAAGGGCCAACTCCTCCCACCTAGCTGAAGCAGAAGTAGACCAACTTCTGCCCTGGTTTCAAAACCAGGTGCTGTAACTCATTGCGGTCCTCTCAGGGATTCCTAGCCTGGTCTAGTGCCAACAGGTGTGCAACAGAGGCCAGGGAAACCATCCTCACCCAGGTCCCACCCACATAAGTGTGCTCCTGGGAAGGAAGCATTAGACTTGGTTCCAGATATATCTCTATGATTCATTGTCTGTATCCCTTTCCCTAGAACACAAGGGCCCCTTGGGAGAGAGGCTCTGAGAGGGGGAGCAGGCAAGAAAGGAGAGGGTGGCCACTCAGAATGGTCATCAAGTGGTCTCCACTGCAAGCTGCTCAGCAGCAGGCCACACTGCACTCAGTGTCTCCATGTTTTTGTTGGTGTCCATGTAAATACCATTACCTGTCCTCCCAAGCTTACTTTTCCCGTTTTGTTTGATTGCCAGCATTTATGTCTGTCCAGAGCCACTGCTTCACTCACCTCTTCCCTCCTCGTTCCCTTTTTTTCCCTCCCGTTCCTCCCTTCCCCTTCTTTTGGTCAAACCGTTCCCTTCATCCAGGGAGCTTCAGGTTTGGACGGCAGGCCTGGGCCACCGGTGAGTGTCACTTCTCCATTACCCCTCACTCCACCCCATCCCCACCCCAGCCTGTGATCCCTCTTGTTTGTTCTGCTGTGGCCTTGTTTTCCCAGTGAGTCAAGCCTTATCCCACCACTGACACCAGAAAGCTGTAGTCTGTGCTCAGTTCAGAAGTACTTATTCAGGCCTCTTGAACAAAGATGGCTGGATTTAGTCTGAATTTCCCTGTCCATATGTGTCCAGGGACCCCAAACTTGACTACTAGACTACTGGGTGTGGGGTAAGAGGCCACTTCAGCAGCACTGCTCCTAGTTCTGGAAGGAATGCTGAGTCCAGCCTAGGAGCCCAGCCCTGGGGGTTGGGGCCATGATCCATCCCCACCAAATACAACAATGTCTGTATGTACCCATCATACTGTGTTGTCTCTGCTGTGAGCTCTGTTCATCTTCTGTCTGCCCATGAGGGCTTCCTACTCCTCTGCAGCTACTAGTCTGCTGTGTATTGGGGTGGGGATGACATTGAAGGGTGAGGGCAGGTGTAGCTTTTTTGAGCATTGTGGCCAATTCCAGCTCAGAGTTTTTGAGCATATTCTAACCACACCTGTCACTCCCTTTAGCACCATAGCAACCCAATAACAGAGCAGCTGAGAGATTCAGGTCCCTTCTTTCTCCATACATCTTGATTCCAGAAAACAGGCATCACCCTACTCTAGACTAGAAAACACCTCGCCCTTCTTTTTGTGACAACAACTGAAGCTTCAGAGGAAACTTTCCTTCCTCTCTATTTTCTATTTCCCCTCTCTGAGCACCTAATAAGGTCTGCAGGGCAGTAGTGCCCCTGGCTGTCACACAATCCCTGATGAAGTCCATCACATACCATGGTGTTGAGACCACTGACTATCCAAAGGCCAGGAGGCTGGTCTTCTGCCCTGCTAACAAGGGCTGAATGTGTGCCCAGATCCTTCCAGTTGGCAAGTTCTGCTCTGCACTTGCAGGATGCTTTCGAGGCCATAAAAGATAAGGTTCTAATGAGGCTGCTGGAGTGACACTAGTGGAAAATGAGAACTTGCAGGGGGTTTTTCATGGAGGGGAAGCCCAGAGAACTGTTAAAGCATACCTGTTCTTAAAAGGCCTTCCCTGGGGCCTGGAAGTAGGCCTCAGAACTGATGTCAACAGAAGCTGATGCTTTTAGAGGCAGTAGGAACCAGGAAAACTCACTCAGTTTCATCCTGCTGAATGCCTGTTCTGTGTCCTCATAAGGTGAGGGAAACCAAGGCTTTGAGAGGGGATTTGCCCAAGATGACAGGTCTTTTCAGAGCCTCTCTCTCTGCCATATGCATTTATGGAGATGGCCCACAGACTCCCACATATGGAAAACATACCCATTTTCCAGGTATTATTACGGTTTTGCTCTTCCACCATGGTCCCTCTCCTCCTATCCTCTCTCACCTAGTACACTTTTCCCAGGTGGCCTGTCAGGGCTAGGGTATGATCTGTGTTGGGCATAGTGCCCAATATTCAGTATGCATTCTTTTGTTTAAACCTGGCAGCAGCCTAGGCGGTGAGCACCAACACTATCATCCTCACTTTACAGAAGGGAACACTGACATTCAGGCTAAGTAACTCTTCCAGTATCACAGAGTCTGTCTGTCCTCGAAGCAGGGTTTGAAGCAGCCATCTGACTCTGGAGTCCTATTTAAACATCACCCCTGATTCGGTCTCATTCATTTTGTGAGCTTTTGTCATTGACGCCCATAAGCTTTTGTTCTTCCCTTATGGTTGCAAAAGGGGCACCAAGAACATTCTATTGCACTTTTTCTTTCTTCCCCATGTAAAAGAAATCTGCATTTTCCCACTTGCTCCACCTTTCACAGTCACACTTACAGCATAGAGAACCACCCATAGGTCCAAGCCCACATCCTCACATCCTTATCTGAGTAGGAAATACTAACACTGAGGCAAAACACTAGCAGGCTCAGAAATACAGACTTTCTCTAGTTGGGCTATAAATTGGGAACCAGGAGAAGAGGCTTAATTATGCCCTAGTAAGTCCTGCTCCCGTCTCTAAGCAACACAGCACTGATTCCTCCTGCCGCCTCCAACTCCCCTGCAGACCTGAGTTAGGAGTGTTTATAACCCACCTTCCTGCCAGGCTAGTGTCGGTGCGACACCCAAGGCACACTAATTTACTCTCCTATCCAGCCTGTTCTGGAGGCCCAGGAGTGTGAGAGAAAAGGCCTTAGCCAGAGGCTGAAAGCCAGGGATGGGGGTCTGCACAGGGGTGGGTGGGGGCAGGTGGGGGTTGAATGACCCTGTCTTATGCCTGCCTGTGTGTGCATCTGCATTGGTCTCTGTGGCATGAAGACCCTCCTGCTGCATGTGGAGCTGCGCCAGCACAGGGGCGCCAGCCCCGGCCCCCCACCCATGGGAGGGGGTCAACTCCCTCACAAGTGCTTCTGGGAGCAAACTAAGCAACCGTTCTCCTACCGTTTTCAGCCTTGGCAAGCTTGGTTGTGAAGTGAAATAGTTTTATTCCAAGAATCTGGCTCTGAGGCAGTGGGGAGGTGCTTCTCTTCCCCAAGGCTGCCCAACCGAAACAGGAACACAGCCCAGTGAACTGACTGCCCTGCCCGAGCCTAGCCTCGCCAACCCTGAAAACTGGGCCTCTGGGCCTTCCTCGTCTCCAGCCTTGGGTGGGCTCTGAGGGCTCTCTCAGCCTCAGGATGCTCACCTTTGCTGTCTTTAAACCCCCAGGGTACTCCAGGACCAATTGGAGTTCCAGGCCCCGCAGGACCAAAGGGCGAGAGGGTGAGTCTCACCAAGCCGGGAGCCTGGGCAAGCAGGAAGGAGGCCAGCCATCCTTCCTCAGGCTGAAGTGCTGCAGTCCTGGCACCTGGGACCCAACACAATTACTGCATCTGCCTCAAGAGTGACAGCCACCATCCCTTCCTTGTAGACAAAGCAAGCACCTTCATTCATCTCTTCTCTCAGTGATTCTGTTAACAGCCTGTGGGAGGGACCTGCAGGCCTGGGGTAACTCTGTTCTGTAGCTATGAGTAGACAGAGACCTGGAGAAATCTAGAAAATGAAAGCTCTCTCCACCTCAGCTTCTAGTTGCCCAGCCAGTGCCAGTTCTTGGATTCAGAGTCTGACAAGGCCCCAGGTGCTATCATCAGCAGGACACTCCTAAGCTTTGTAATAAGGATTTAGGGATACACCATGGAACTGAAGGCCAGGTGATGTTTGGAACAATCTGAGAGACATCAAGAAGTCAAAGGCCAGTGCCTTAGTCTCAGGTCCCACCATTACTGGTCATGTGACCTTGGCTACTGCTCACATAACTCTCCAAGCTCCAGCCTCCTCACATGGAGTAGGTATGTGCAAGGGTGAGGGTAGAGCATGTTGGCTCAGCGGAGGCAGGAGAGCTGAATGTCATTTCAGCTCAGCTCTTGCCCCAGTCTCTCCATGTTCAGGCCTTAGGGTAGCTAAAGAATCAGCCAGGGCCCTGGGCCTCTGAGGGCATCCGTTGAACTCTGTTATGAGCAGTTCTCCTCCTCGCCCACCTACACACCTGTCTGTCTCAAGGGAGGCTGAGGGAAACATAGCAGCCTCTGTGGGGTGTGAAAGATGGAAAGCTTCTGAAGGGGACATAGAGGATTCTCTGAGGTCATAGCCAGTTGGGAAAACCAGGATTAACTTCTCTGTGGATGTCACTTGAGGGAGGCTTCAAAGAAAACAGAAAAGTCCTCTTTCCTTTCTCTTATGCCTGCCTTCTGTGTTCCACCCATTTCCTGCTCCCTGTTCTCCCCTGCTTGTGCCTCAGGCCAGCCCTTACCCACAGGACACTGCTCAGCCTTTCTGTTGGGTCTAGGGACATAGGCTCTGGGCAGCAACAGGGTGAGGAGGGGTTTCCAAGCCTACTCCCTGGGGCAGAGCAACACCAGCCATACCCTACCCTCTGCCCAGCCCTTGCTTCCCCACGGGCTCCTTTGGGGAGCTGGAGAAGTTTCTATTGCATGAAAATAAGAACCAGCTGATAGAAGGTTGTTACCATGTCAGGAGGGCTCATGGGTTTCCTTCTCCTGTTTCAGGGCAGCAAAGGTGACCCTGGGATGACAGGACCAACGGGAGCAGCAGGGCTTCCTGTAAGTCTCCTGGAATCAAGGTTTCTCTTCTTCCTTTCCCTCAACAGAAGCATTTTCAAAACAGACAATCCAGAGCTTGGAGCAACAAATCTGGGGCCAAGCGAGAATTCTCATTTCTTTGACAGGAAGCTGTTCACAGCCAGTGGACAATGCACTAGAACTTTTCTGCTGGACATGCTGGGAGCAAAACATCATGTAGCAATTCCTTGGGCATGTAGACTGTGTACTGTAACAACCATATCATGGGCCTCTTCCACTGTAAGCCTCTGTGCTAACAGCTCACAGATAAACATGCCACCACCCCTGCCCTCAAGGAGGGATGGATCCTTGGCAACGGCAGGTTCAAACCCAAATCTCTGTAGTATAAGAAAATGCTTCATGAGAGAGCACCTCTCCCAAGGGAGCTGGGCCTCAAGGAGTAGACCACCTTTCCATCTGCAGCATGTTATATCATAGCTTTGTTATAAAAGTTAATTGTCTGCCCAGCAGAGCCAGAACTGTTGTTTCCCATCTATCTGAAGGCTTGTACATCTGTTTGCTCGTTTCATGGTAGGTTGCCTGGGCAGTTTTCTTTGGGTTAAATAGGCAACTACAGGTAAATGTTTGCCTTGTGTTCATTCATCCCTCTGGCTGAAGAAATGGATGGTATTTTGCACCTTGAAAAGAAGGTCTGAACCTGGCAAGATAGCAATGTGGACATCTACCAGAAGAGTTCTCTGCTCCCAGACCATGTCCTCTGAGGCATCACTCAATTAGCATAAATGATGGTGGAAGAACACCACAGGCTGGGACATTGGCTGTGGACAAGAACCAGAACTCTGTCACTGGCTTTGCCCATAACTCATCATGTGTCTCTAGGTCCGGTCACTTGAGCAATTTTCTCCTTTGCCCCTTTGTATAAAATGGGGTATAATTAAACCTGTCTCCAGTGAATTCAGCATCAGTAAATGGGTTTATGAATCTAGGAAGGAAGGACTGTATGACATCCTGTGTTGTGTCATTTCTCATTTCTCTGATTTATTGCAGGGTTTACACGGACCACCCGGGGACAAAGGACACCGGGTGAGTCGGAGCCCTTGCACCCCGGCTCTGGTTACTAATGTCTTCATGATGTGATGAAATGATCAATTGGGGATTCCTGACCCAATAGAGCAAATATGATTTTTCCTAGTAAATCATCCTAAGTTAAAAGCTTTATGGTAGAAGGCTTCATATGTGGCAGGCAGGAGCCTGGGGCCTCAGCCTGAAATTGAAGCTTGTATTTTTCCATATGACAAGAGATGGCCATTGGATTAACACTGCCATCCAGGAACAAAAATCCCATGTTCAACTCTCACCATGTTGCCCTGATAATGAACCCTTAAACGATATTTTAAAATCCATAATTAACTAGCCCTAGCTTCCTAAATTTAGTTTAGCCAGGCATTCCAAGCTACTGGTGAGAAGAAAATAAATTCCATTTCTGAGAGCAAGCAGGCAGCTGCTGTAAGTAGCCAACCCTTTACAAAAAAATATTACAGCCATTATTTCTCTTGGAAAGAGTCAACAGGACTGTGAAATGAATGACACCTTCCTAAGCCCCTTGCTTTCCTTTTGGTTCCTGCCATCTTCACCAGGATACATTTATTCAATGTCCTGGACCCACAGTCACATAGTGGTATATGACACATGCCATGACCTTCAGCACTGGGGTCCAGCAGGGATAAGTTAACTACATCTGACCAAGAGTTGACCTTTGGGTTCCTTTCTAGGATGTCTCTCTGATCTGCTGCTTCAACACAGTAGTTCTCAGAGTGAAGTACACATTCCATAGAAGCCCAGAGGGTCTTTAACTCACTGGCATTGAGTCAATTCTGACTCATAGTAACCTTATAGGACAGAGTACAGCTGCCCCATAGAATTTCCAAGGCTATAAATCTTTACAGAAGCAGATTGCCTCATCTTTGTCCCATGGAGCAACTGGTGGGTTTGAACCACTGGACTTTTTGGTTGGCAGCCAAATGCCTTACCCACTGCACCATCAGAGCTCCTTAAGAGGATCCTTAAAACTAAAATCCAAATTCACTGCCATTGAGTCAATTCTGACACATAGTGACCCCACTGGGTTTCCAAGGCTGTAAATCTTTACAGAAGCAGATCACCTCATCTTTCTTTTGCAAAGTGGCTGGTGGGTTCAAACCACGGACCTTTTTGGTTGGCAGCCAAATGTCTTAACCACTACACCATCAGAGCCCCTTTAAGAGGCTCTTAGGGGGGTCATAAAATCCAAGGACCTTAAAGTTAGAAGAAATGGGAGGAGAAGATGGAGAAATGAGGCCCAGAATGGTGATACAACATACTGAGATCCCACAGAGAGTTAGAGGCAGAGCACGGAGCTCCTAGAACTCAGGTCTTCAGGCTTATCTTTGAACACCAGTACCATGTTCGTGAATACAAGTGCCAGAATCTCCAGGTACAGTCCAGCACCAATTCCATTTCCTTCCATTTAAGGCACATTTATTGAGCACTTTCACATTCCTGAATTCTCCTCCCAGGTGTTAGCCAAACCTATTCCATTTGTCCCACATATTCTATAAACTAAGGAGTAGGGAGTGCTACCCCTACCAGAGTGTTCCACGGGAAGACCAAGTTTTCAAAGCACTGGAATGAAAAGATGTGCTTCCAGCAAAGTGGCCAGGCTTTATAAGACAGGCTGGAAAACTCTCCTTTTTTAGTGTGACATTAAAGAACTCAGGCCTCAAAAAATTGATCATTCCATCTCTTAGTTGGCTTGTTAACCTTCTTTCTGATTCACTTCTAATGAGTACTGGTTTTCTTTATTAGATTAAATTAATATTTTAAAAACTAATCTCTTAAGACTGTTTTCAGTTGGCTTGAGGTGCAAACAATTTGAAGGCTGTGAAATTAGTCCTTCAAGTGAGGGTCATTGTGTTGTTCTAGAGATGGAGTTCCTTGTCACAGAGGAAGGAGGGGTGGAGCCTGGTGGCTCTGATTCTTAAGGAACCACATTTGATGAATGTGTCAGTAAGGCCCCTGCAATCAGTGAGAAAACATTTATTCTCCACTTCTCTCTTCTTAAAGTTGCACATACTTACCCCCCATCCAATTATATAAATTAGGGATATGTCATGTAATAGAAGTCAAGTCCAGAAAATGGGAAAGTTACATGAACCTTCTTTTGAGCGCACCAGAAAGAACCAGTTACCATGTTCCAAAGAGCTGGCTCTTCATTAGAGAGATTTGACTTTCAGGATACCAGAAGGTCCTATGAGAGTCTCTGCTAAATCTTGTCTTCTTATTTAGACCTTTTTTCCCACCAGCCCTAACAGAGCTTCAAGGAAGAAATATAAGGACTTGATATTAATACTTTCAAAACAAAGAAAGGCCTGGCCCAAGCCAAGTCAGCACTTTGCCATGGAAAGTCTTCTGATACTGGAAGCTCAGAATGTCAACACTTTGATCAAAGTGAAATGCCAGAAGTGGCTTAGACAACATTTTGATTAGAAGCTTTGTTGTTACTTGTAAAGGTCAAGTTAGGGAGCTCTGGTAGCATAGTGCCTAAGGCACTTGACTGCTCACCAGAAGGCTGGCGGTTCAAACCCACCAACCACTCCTCGGAAGGAAGGTTGGGCAATCCTACTTCCGTAGTGATACTGCCTCGGAAACCCAAGGAGGGGGTCGCTATGAGTCGGGCCAACTCGACGGCAAACAACAACAACAAAGTTCCCTCCACTCCCACCCAGGTTTTAGAGGGAAGTTCCTATAGCGAAGCTCCCAAACTCTGCTACAAACCATACCCTGGGACCCCCACCAGAGACTCCTAGCCTTTTGTTCTTAGAATGAACCAAGACACAACTTTAAATTATGCTTCTCCTGAAGGGCCAGGAATTAGAGTAGTAACTGGAATATATGTCACATTGCTTCCCTGAACTGCTTTCTTTGCCATGAATGTAAAACTGGATGGTGCCCTGCTACTAATATTGAAGGATTTGATCAAAGATTGTATAGAAGACTTTTGATCAAAAGAGGGAAAAATGTGGAACAGAACTTCAACTTTTCATGGAATCTAGACTTTCTGAAACCATTGCAGCTGGATGATCCCCTAAAGAAATCTTTAAGCCCTAAATACTAAACTAAAACTATCCCCCAAAATCATCTTTTTTAAAAAATTATGCTTCTCCCATGCATTTCTGTTTATGGTGATGGGAAATTTGGCAACAATTCATGGTGATGGTTGCACACCGTAGTTAATGTAATTGATATCACTAAACTGTACACATGAAAAATGCTGAATTGGCAAATGTGTTGTATATATTTTTGCAACAATAATAAAAAAATTATACTTCTCCGTGTCACACCAGAGGCAGGTCTTCAAGCTTCTGTCCTGTTCCTAGAAGGTGGAAGGTCCTTACAGTGAGCAAAGCTCAGAGCCTTGAGACAGGGAGTTTTGTAAGAGAAAGCCACCCGTACCAGTGGAAATATTTTTCCCCCCTTCTCACTAAGCAGCTCTCCATGAATTTAGCCAAGGTGCCACTTTTAGGATTAAAACTCAGCCAAAGGATAAGGGTTGGTATGAATCTAGCAATTTGGTCATCAGGAAAATTGGGTGGACCACAGTCAATGATGTTACCACAGACTGCCTTGCAAGCCAGCTGAAAAGGTCTGAGTGCTGTGCAGTGAGGTGTGCATCTGTGTGTGCGTGTGCGTGCATGTGTGTGTGTGTGTGTCTTGCGTCCCTAGGTCCACCTTGCCTCCTTACCTCTCCTTCCACGTATTATCTCTTTTGGCCTGGATCTGCCTCTTCTTCCTCTACTCCTCCAATATGTATCCCCCTAGATATGTTCACCCATCATAATTTCATGTCCTTTTTCTTACCCTCCCTCAGCTTCAATTTATTTCCTCTAAAATCTATTTTTATATGCTTATCTACTTTGTAAGAGAACTCTGCTGCTTGCCTTTATTTGCCCCTTTCTCCTTGTTGTTGTTGCTGTTGTTATGTGCCTTGACCAGCTGGGATTCCTTCCTTGGCAGGGCCTCTTTTGTGTCACTATCTGAAGAGGGGAGGGTGTAGGTAAAGTCCTGCTCTACCGTCTTTAAAGGGCAACCGACTTAAAGTGACTTCTCATGCCCTTAGACCCTGACACACACACACCCGCAGTGTAATTTGCCCATCGTGTAAACCTGAAACACAGCCAACCCTCTGTTACCCTCAGGCCAAGAATTCAAGGAGCCTGGGACCACCTCCATCTTTGGCAGCTCTGCCCACTATCTCCATTTAAAAAAAAAACAAAAAACTCACTGCCATTGAGTCTATTCAACTCATAGCGACCCCTCCTTGGGTTTCCAAGGCAGCATCTCTACAGAAGTAGATTGTCCAATCTTCTTTCCAAGGAGTAGCTGGTGAGTTTGAACCACCAGCTGTCTGGTTAGCAGTCAAATGCCTTCAGCACTATGCCACCAGAGCTCCCTCTCTATCTTCATTTCAAAACAAAACTACAAACTTTCTTCATTAGGAAACTTAATTTGTGCTCATTTTTACACTGGCCTGACCCCAACAGAATGAGGGGGCCACAGTGCTGAGTAGGTCGACCATGGGCTTCCCTGTCCAAACAGCTACTTTGGTGTTATCATCATGTTGTTTTTGTTGTTATGTGCCGTCGAGTCGGATCCGACTCGTAGTGACCCCTCCTTGGGTTTCCGAGGCAGTATCACTACAGAAGTAGATTGCCCAACTTTCCTTCCGAGGAGTGGCTGGTGGGTTTGAACTGCCAGGCTTCTGGTTAGCAGTCACATGCCTTAGGCACTATGCTACCAGAGCTCCTGTTATCATCATGAGCAGCTATCATTTACTGAGCACGTACTATATGCCACTCTTATGCATTTAATGTGCACAAAGACCACAAAAAGCCATTGAATCAGGTGTTATTATCCCCATTTTACAGCATTAAACTGAGGTTAAGTAACTTCCCAAAGTCATGCTACTAATAACTAGCAGAGCCAACTCTGATGCCACAAGCCTTTCATCTGACCAGTGTGCTGCCCAGTCTTTTCGACTTTGCCCCTCTGGAGTAGCACCATGGCATTTCCCAAGCAATAGATAACAGCTTTCTGTAGAGTGAGGGTCAGGGGGTGGGGGTGGCGCAGGAAGAGTTCCAGGAAGACTCCCTAGGGCACACTCAGACCCCCTTTTAAAGAAGCCCAACATACGAATGTTCAAACTCAAATCCCTACAGAAAGGTGATGCTTCACTTTTAAAAATAACTCCTCAGAGCCCTCCTTAAATGTACAGTGGCCCTGACACATACAAATTTGGAGCTTTATTCAAGCTTTTCAGAAACAAATGAATTCCTTGAACTGACCTGTCCAAGTACAAATGGCCATGTATGGCTTCCCACTCTGCTCGGCATTTCCCACCAGCTCTGAACTCTACTGCTTCCTGCAGTCTGGCTTCCTCTGGCTTCCCAGTCTCCTCCTCACCAAAGTCTAAGGTGCTCAGTGGAGGGGAGGTGGGTCCTGACCCCAAATCCTATCGGGGAGAATATCCTGATCGAGAGAATCTATCAATCTATCATCCCTCTTTAATTTTTTTTTTTCTTTTTCTTTTTCTTTTTCTGTCTCTAACTTGAACACATGGATGATCCTAAAGTTTTGATGTTATTTTTTTTTTCTTGGACTAAACCATTATTTACAGGGGGAGAGGGGGAAGAAAGGCTCTAGAGGGCCTAAAGGGGATAAGGGAGACCAAGGAGCGCCTGGATTAGATGCCCCCTGTCCATTGGTATGTTTTTCTTTATCGTTTTGCATTGTTCTGATTATTTCCTTGAGGTTTGCAAGCTGGAAACAAAGAAGGCAAATAAACTAAGAGGAGAACCCAGTGACCACACTGAGGCTACCAAAACCCACCAATCTGTTAGCCTGTGAAATTCTGCCCGCTGCTGGGGTGCCTTAAACCACAGCTGCAAATAATTCCAGGCAAATCACTTTCTTTGAAGATGCAAAACAGTTGATGTGTGGAAGGGAAGAGACCAGGAGGAAGGGGATTGTCCAAGAGGAAGCCTCAGCTCTGAGCTCCAGGCTGACTTTGGAAGCCAGTGTAGCATTTGGGATTCACGAATTTGCCTTCTTCCTTTGGCGGCCACCTCTGCTTGATAGCCGGTAGTTCAAGTTGTCTGAGTCCTCACTAGGTCACGATGCAGGACCCCAGGGTTAGCATCTCCAGAGGCCACCTCTGCTCAAAAGTGGGCAGAATAAGGCCAGCCAGGGGCGATTCATAGACAGCCTTCTAACACCCAGTAGCCACCCACCTAAAACCTTTAAAGCTTTGGACCAAAGTCAGTAAACAGACACCCATGAGAAGCTTCGAAAAAGCCAGTTGTCGAGTTGATCCTAACTCCTGGTGACCTCATGTGTGCCACAGCAGAACTGTGCTCTACAGGACTTTCAATGGCTGACTTTTCAGAAGTAGATCACCAGGCCTGTCCTTCAGAGCACCTCTGGGTAGACCTGAACCTTCAACCTTTCGGATTGCAGCCAGGCACATTAACAGTTTGCACCACGCAGGGACTCCAGACAAAGCAACATTAATTCATTATGCTGCATCTGCTGGGCTTCTCGAGTGCCTTTTCCATCCATTTGAAGGTTCTGAAAATTATGATGCACTCAAGTGGACACGTAGCTGTTTACTCTGAGTGAATCTTGACCTAGAGAGGGGCCTGGTGGTACCATGTTCAGAAGATGAACTCTCCAGAAAGCCACTGAGAACACAAAGGCAGAGTTGGGGAGATGGGAATGCCCTGTGTGTAGATGCCTCCAGAGTCCTGCATCCTGGCCAGTGTAAGACTGGGCCTCTCTGCTCCATAGACACGTGGAGTTGGCCAGCCTTGACTTCAATAACCCCCGTGGTTGGTTTTGTGAACAGGGACACCGAGGTTTTAAAGGAGAGAAAGGGGAACCGGGGTTACCAGGGCTGGACGGACTGGATGCCCCATGCCCATTGGTATGGCATCACCCTCCCCATTTCTGCATGGCCGATTCGGGCATCCCTACCTGTGTGGTTCATACCTGCATGCCTCACCAGCCTTCATCCATCCACCCTCCACTCCCTGCTTGTTCTCTGTGTGGACACCAAAGCCACCTTGCCTTTGCTGCTCCTCAGGGGGCCCAAGCCATGCTTCCCTCTTGCATGCAGTTTGACAATATGTTTCCTTGGCTTCCTTCTGTACCTACTTCAAAAGCACCTCATCTTGAAGTGAGCTGATACTCCCCAGCCCAAAGCAGCTTTGGCTACATCTCATCATCGTTTCAGAATTGCTTCTAGACAGATCTGCCACCATAAATAAAACTAGGGAAGGGGATTCTGTGGGCAGGTTCTGAGAAATGTGACTTCTTCATGCAATGCAGTTAGCCCACAAACATTGGCTGAGCACTTGGCACATACTGACATGTTGAGGGATCACTGAGGTGCCTGGGTCAGCTCTTGTACCACCACTTTTTAGCAGGGGACATATAGGCACACTCATAACATTACTAGAGGAGAGAGAAGTTCTGTAACCAAGGGAGAGGAGGGGAGCCGCCTTATCTCCTTTCCCAGCCAGAGTCTGGGGTCACTGCCCTGGAAACACTAGCAGAATTGAGGGACTGTCCAAAGTTTTTAGATCCTAAATGGCTTATCCTTTTTGCTTAAATCCCAGAAGACAGTATAAGACCCTCCCTTGGCTTCCTTTTCATTCATCTGCAGATGGTTCATCACTGGATAGTCTGGAAGAGAATGAAAAGTTTGAGAATGTAGTTATGGAGATGAGAGGAGACCCTTCTTCCAAGCCTGTCCCAGACCTAAGTGGTGACCATTTTGTTCCCTCCTGGCCCAATCCATCTGTAGGCCTACACACCAATCCTTCCTACTTACTGAAAGGGAGGTAGGAGATGAAACATCATTTGAGGCAGAAGCAATGAGCTCAGGAGGGTCTTGCTCTCCAAAGTTTTCCCAGCAGTTATAGATGTCATGGAGCTATTGTCATACTAGAAGTCCCCTTGCAGAGCTCCTTGAAGAGGACTAGGGACTTTTAAGGACCAGCATGTATAACCAAAGAAGAGCACAGAGCAAGCACGCAGATCAGCACACTTCCTATCCCTGCTTTAAAGCTGCTGTCATCATCCCCACCCCATCCCCCATTGGCCAGGCCTACCCCCAGCAGACAGCATGAACAGGCATCTTTCTCCACTGGGACTTCCCAGTCCCTTCTCAGAGCCTGCATTAATCCTTAGCCAGCTCTTTCCTTTGCCACTCTTTTCTGCAGTATCTCCTTCCCACCACTGAGCACCTTTCCTTGGGCCCTGGCCTCCCAATCTTCCCCACCTAACCTTCCATTCTCCTTTGCCTGCCCTGCCCTCCACTGTTCCCCACCACCATCCACGTGCCAATGGGAATGCCCTCGGCCAGCAAGGTTCCTCTCCCTTCCGGAGTCCATGTGAAGTGTGTGCACCATAGGCTGGAGGAGGGATCAGAGGTCATCCTGAAACCACCTCTGCAGTCCCCTCCCCAACCCAAAGGGGAACACGAAGGTCACCCTTGTTTGACCCTTAATGCAAAATGGCCTTTTCTCTAATAACATCCCATATCAATGTGTCATTTGTCTATTAGTGTTGCTGTGGAAGTGTCCATATCTTCCCTTTCTTGTTTCTCATTGTCACTGTTTCCCTGGTCTCCTGTGTTGGATTATCTTGTACATGGGGGGCAGGGGAGGTATTGATCATGAGTTTTTGTTTATGATAACTAGACTTTTCCACCTTCCATGATAGGGCCACTGCCTACCAAGCAATGAGAGGTACAGGTGCCTGTCACCAGGGCATTAAGTTGGCCCCCTCCAACTTCCTTTGGGATTGATCTGAAAGTTGTGTCCCTTGGAAACCTGTGTCCATGAAGAATCTCTTCCTCTGCCCTGGAGCCTGGAATTCTAGATTCTGGGGGCAGTTTTAGTCCATTGAGACCAAAGACCAGATCTTTGCTCTCAGTCAGCGTTGCCCCACCCCTTGTTTCACAAAGCTGTCTAGATTCCCCCCAGGCTGTGCCAGAGAGGCCAGGCTATGAGGGCCAAGTGGACCCAGGAGGGTTTCCATCACCAAGGCATGACACTGGGTGCTTGGTGGTTGCCACCAACAAAGGGGACAAACAGTGTACAGTTGATCCCATCTTGCTATGATATTTTGCTCCCAAATTCCCAGCGATGTCTAAGACTATTCCAGAAGCCCTGTCTTCTTGCTGAAGGCACCTCAGGGCCATGTTGCAAATCCCATGAGATTGCCTGTCCCTTTGCACCTACCCCCACCCCACACTGATCATCAGATAAGAACTGCCTAGATTTTCTCCTTTCACCACTAGGTAAAAGAGAAAAATAAGGGAATGGGAGACCCATGAGACAGCTTGTTGTTGTTATGTGTCATCAAGTTGGACCTGACTCACAGCGACTCCTCCTTGGGTTTCCGAGGCAGTATCACTACAGAAGTAGATTGCCCCATCTTCCTTCTGAGAAGTGGCTGGTGGGGTTGAACCACCAACCTCCTGGTTAGCAGTCAAGTGTCTTAGGCACTACGCTACCAGAGCTCCCACTTAAAACAACCACACCTTCCTCAGGCTTCATAGAGGGGGAAAACTGAGGTCTCCAGGTGCTGACTTACCCATGAACACCCTGTACTAGTGGATCTCACAGGCTGCTCTTTCTACAACATTCAAGGCCGCCTCTGATTGCTGATCCCACAGGCTAGGAGAGCCTCCATTGGCCTCAACTGTAGTTTCATGTGGAACTACTGTAGGTCCAATGGGAAGAGAGCAAACATTTTCTCACCTCCTTCCCAAGCTCTGATCAGAGATAGAGAAAATAGACAACAGTGGGTCTACTACATCCCTATCAGCTGCCATGTGTGTGGCCTTATTTAGTCCTGTCCTCCTGCTTGGTGGGCCAGCTTCTGAGAATCTCAGCCCGTTGCCTTCCTTCCTCCCTGTAGGGTGAAGATGGTCTACCAGTCCAGGGCTGCTGGAACAAGGTAAGGTCCCCAGGGGTTTGCATTGCCTTGAGCAGAGATGTGCTTGGGGCTCCATTTTGCTAATAGTATGATAAAGCACAGAGAATATCCATTCTGGGCCTTTCTGCAGATGAGGCAAGACTTGGGTCTAAAAAGGAACTATCTCAGTGGCAGGTGCCCATTAAACATCCCATGCCCTGGGCTCACTGGGAGAACATTCAAAAATGCTGCTCTGGTGGCATAGTGCCTAAGGCATTTGACTGCTAACCAGAAGGCTGGCAGTTCAAACCCACCAGCCACTCTTCAGAAGGAAGATTGGGCAATCTTCTTCCCTGGAGATACTGCCTCAGAAACCCAAGGAGGGTTCACTATGATTCGAATTGACTCAACAGCATTGAGTTTGGTTTTTTGGTTAGTAAACCCTAATGTATGGAATTTCCATGTGGCCACACGGTGTGACATCTTTAGGCTTTGTGTGGTTAATTTGTACAGTACTCTTCCTCCAAGGAATTCTAAACTATGTTTTAAAATGAAATTATCAGTACTTTCATAAAATTAATGTATCAATGAGCTACTCTCATTGTATGGTACATATAAGGTTATTTAAGCCATATAATGACATCTATCCAGATGTAGGAAATCTAAGTTGCTTAAACCTTGAACTCACATGGCTTCAATGCCTCCCATGAAGACTGTCCAGCTCAGCACTCTACCCTTGCCCTTGAACTTAAGCTGCCAGAGCTTCATGCTTTCCAACATAGAACCTGCAGTACAACCCCCTCTTGGATTCCCAGAATTCCTACCAACATTGACTTTTCATTTCTTTACACTTGCCTTGGCTTTGGCCACCACTAAAGCAATCCGAAGCCACAGGACAATACCCTTGCAAACAGTCACCCCCATTCAGCCATAATCCCCCAAAGCTCAGGACTCCCCAGCATGGTGAGCCAAACTGGGTCCCAACAAATGTACCAGATGTCTTGATTCTCCACTGGCAGCCCCCTTCCATCTCCCTTCTCCTCAGCTCCTGCTTTCCCTCCTAACCCTCCTCACAAGTGGCCTAGGGGTGTTGGTTCATTCTTATGTAAGGGCTAGAGACCTTCTGTAACCAGTTCAAGAGTTTGTGCTTTGCTGACTCAGTCCAGCCCCAGTAATAGCAGAGTCACACTAACAATGAGATGGATAAGCAGCTTTCTGCTAAAATGCTCAGAATCTCATTAGTTCATGAGATTGAATGAAAGTAGGGAAACTGCCAAGAGACCAGGCCCTAAGTTGAGTATCCACTTGTCTGGGACTCTGTAATGACCCCAACCAGAGGAAGGAAAAACTTAATCTTCAAGGGAAATCTCTCCCCTGAATCTGTCCCTCATACCTCTTGTTGACTTCCCCCCTAGACTTAGTTCAAGCTCTACCATACAGGTAACAGATGTATTGAATAAGAACTCAACTCCTTGTCCGTTAAGGTAAAGATACTCTTCAAGGTCACTGTGATAGGAGACAGAATGGTTGAGCTCAGCAGGGAAAGGACAGCCACTATCAAGAACTAGTGTCTTGGAGCCACTATAGAGCATCATGCCTGTTGGTTCACCATAAATTCAGTCTGGGAAGATGCACAACTCAACAGCCAAGCCTCCGTAGGCATCACAGAGAAAAAGTGCCCTCTAGTGGCCAAGCAGATGAGTCACTAGGGGTGAAAACTTTGTTGCCGCCCTCAGGGTGCTTAGGTTCAAGACCATTTCTTTGACACAGGGGACTAGTGGTTCCCCCAAAATGCAATCCAGAGCTCCCATCCATCCCAGGACGAGATCTGCCTCCTTTGCTACAAGAGAGATAAACACCCACGGACTCACTGAAACTAACTCTATGGGTTTTTTTTTAATTTCTGTTTTGTTTTGTTTTGTTTTACAGTGATGCCTCTAACCTTGGATTGGCCTGTGTGTGTGTTTGTACATAGAATATTTATTTTTATACAGTTTTCACTTTTTGAAAATGCCAGACGTATGATGCATCTTACAGATTATTAAAAAAAAAAAACAAAAACAACAAACCCTGCATATTTTGTACAGAGAATACCAACTTCTTCCCTTTTGTTTACAAGATGTTTTGTATAAGTCTACGTCTCTAATACACTTTTTGTTTGTGAATATGGTTGTAATGTTTGCATGATATTTGTGCACAGTTATTGAGTATTGAAGCTTAATAAATTATTTTATTCTGGTGCCAAAGGGGGCCACCCAGCACTCACATGCTGGCTAGCTTATGTGTAAATTCACATAAATGTGGAAGATGGTGGTATTTGCCAACCTAGGTATGTCTAAGAATATTTTAAACTTTTATGGATTTTTATTATTAAAAAATGAAACATGCAAATTCATGATCCTGGGTAATCATTAAATACATGATTTCTTATGAAAGCAGGAGGCCTTGGAAACAGGGATCCTCAGAAATATGGGGAAATGTTTTGAAATGTTAAGTCCAACAAAGGGAGGTAGGGAGATTCTATTAAGCAATGTCTATTATATTGTCCCTGGGTGGTGCAAACAGTTAACGTGCTTGGCTGCTAACCCAGAGGTACCTCAGAGGAAAGGCCTGGAGATCTGCTTCCAAAAAACTCACCCTCAAAAACCCCATGGAGCACACTTTCCACTCAGACACATAGGAGTTGGAATCAACTGAACAGTAACTGGTATTATGTCTATTAGAACACATCCCAAGTTCATCACAATGCTGTTAGATGCAGAAATCACCCTTTAGAATTAACGTTGTGTTGACAGCTACCTAAGATTTTGAAGGGCCATTTGCTCCAGCTTTTCATTTTTGTTTTGTTGTTGTTTTTAATGCACTTTATTTTTTTAGTGCAGTTTTAGGTTTACAGAGACATTGTGCAGAAATGACCGAGTTCCAAATACTCCTTCTATAGACTCCTGCTGTTAACATCTTTCATTGGTGTGGGACATGTGCTACAACTGATGAGCCAATATGGGTACATGATTACTAACTATAAGTTCAGAGTTGACATTAGGGTTTATTCTGCATTGAGCAGCCCTGTGGTTTTGAGAAGCTCATGATGTCACGTGTCCATTGTTTATCATACAGAATAGTGTCACCATCCTAAAAACACCCTGCACTCCACCTGCTTAGGGTTTCGCTCCTTCCCCTGTGGAGCTGCTGTCCCTAATATCAGCTATTGCTGATCATGGCCTTGTGGTTGATAACAGGTCTGCGGGTCCACTTATCACTGCTGGTTGAAGAAAACTTTGCCTCGTCTGTCGTTCCACACTAGTAAAGAACATCTGAAAATGCTCACCAGTCTAGGCCAAGCTGGCCCAAACTGCAGTTGTTTCTATTTTTTTAAGAAATAGAGTTTTATTGCTTTCCATTCATAGTGTCCTGCTTAGTAAAGGTCTCTAAAAAAACCAAACCGGTTGCCATGGAGCCGACTCCGACTGATGGCAGCCCTGTGTGTGTTAGAGCAGAACTGTGGCTCCATAGAGTTTTCTTTGGCTATTTTTTTTTTTTATTTTTTTATTTTGATTTTGATTTGGGTGAAGATTTACAGAGCAAATTCCCTTTCCATACAGCAGTTCACATATACTTTGTTGCATGTCATTGACCACAGTTTACCACAATGCAACAGCTCCCCTCCCACTTCCTCCCCATAGTTACCTCTTCCCAGTGACCATCCCTCCATACTCTCC